CATTTTTGTAGATCAAGTTGCTAAAGAGGATAAAAAATGAACACGTACATTGTTGAAACATATAGAGATGCAACTTGCATACCCTGAGCATCCTGACCTGTGAGGAAAGTTTTTTGCAGAGTAGAAAGTCCTTCTTCCAATTCTTTGTATTTTTATAAAATGTTATATTAATTTTTGTATATATCCTAGAGCTAACTTGCAAGGAGAGTTAACTAAATGTATTCAGTTTCAATACCAAACGAAATATACACAAGAAATCTTTAAATTTTCATACTATCAAAAACAGTGTTTCGACAGCTTTTGTAAATAAAATGTAAGTGGGCTTTAGTGCAGGTACTATCTTCTGGTGGGTAAGTTATTTTTAACCTAAAATTAGAGCTTGGCAGGAGAGTATCGAAAAATGTCGCTAAATTTTAGAATCCAACAGTCAGGACTAAATCAACACACAAAATGAGAGTCTTTCAAAAGTAAATATCTTACATTTGCGTTAAATCTGGTTTTAAAATTTATAAAAACCTTTAAAAGGGTCAAGAGAATATTTACATTTGAAAGCATCGCAAATTGTTTTAGGGTTGCTTTTTGGTTGTTATCGATTTCTGGAATACCCCACATAGACTGGAAAATTGTAAGAAAAACAAAAACCAAACATTTTGCTCAAACGAGACATAAAGTAAAGAACCTGCTCTCGAAAGTTAACCATTTAAAGCGACTTTAAGGGAGATGAAATGAATAATAACAATTGATATAATGAGGCCAGCAAAAGATTTTAGTGGATAGTCTTATTCTTACGGCACTCCCATTCAAAATATAATATTTATAAAACTCAAAGACTAGGAAAAAGGACTTTTTATGATTTCAGTAAAGTTTAGTAACGTTAAGAAATGTGACATTGTCAAAACAATTTCTAAGGAACCGTATAACCAAACTCGATTATCGATAATTTGGTACCATACCTACTATTCTGTCTGATGCATATAAAGGTATAAGCCTCCAAGTTTTAAGTTAACTTTTAACTTAACCAAATTGTCCCAAAAACCTTCGTTATCAGTCGTTGGACTTTATTGAAAAAGAGGTAATAATACCAGATATAATAAAATAGGTACTCGTATGATTTTATTGATAGTGCCAAGGTCGTCGGGTCACTGCTAGTTTTTTTACCCCTAGATAAATGTTATGCAAGTAATGAAAAACCTAAACAAATAATACAATTGAAGAAAATTTATATTTTCGTTATGTGTTGAATTGTATGTATTACCATCTGACTTCATATTTTTTTGTACATATATATCTATTTTTATATGAACATTTGTAATTTTTATAAATCGAGTACAGTAAAAAAATTTTATACTTTTTATATGGGCTTATGTGAAAATACCTTGTGCTATATGAATGCTTACTTTAATTAAAAGAGGAAATGAAAAACAAGAAACCAAGAGAGCATTTTTGTTTATCTGTTTTAAGACCCAAATGAAACACAACAAGTTAATGTAAATATGACATTGCATTATAATTTCACTTTCTTAATATGTGTTGTTCAATGGATGTATAGTGCTTCTAGGAAATTACAAAAAATATATATATGACAAACACGAAATACAAAACACTTAAGTAAGTGACGGAATTCTTTCTACATTTATCTTGTTAAGCAACATTTGTAATTTATGCAAGCGTTTTTGTTAAATTTTTTATTGCCCAGTCAAAAAAGGAAAAGAAAATGAATGATTTTCAGCTTTTTGAAGAACGTATTCGAATATGTACCTACACATCCGACAGATGTGTGTATCTAAACCTACCACTGAAAACAGAAATTTAATGAAACATTTAAGTACCTTAACGAAGCTTCTAATTATAGCTACTGTGACCACGAACAAGAGTCGAAATCAAGCCAAGCCCAGCAAAAGAAATGCTATATCCATCGTAAAACCCGCTTTCACCGAAAGTAGGGACTACGAATTTCAGATGGCATGGGGTCTATAGCTTTTGTATTCTGATCATAGTAGCGCATAAGTACCTACAGACAAACAGGCATACACCATTTGACACTTGCACACATTAAGGATTATGCACGTTTTTTTCTTAGATATATTAGAGTGTATTTAAATTAAACAAACCAAGAAAAACAAACAAAAAACAATATTAAACAGAAAACACAAAAAACAAGAAATTTTGTACTTTTATATATATGATGAGTATATATATATTCGTATACAAGTATACATATGAATGCCCCTAAATGGTTCAACTCAACGGATTCTCAATGTATTTTTTGTATGTCTCAGAATGGTATGGCTCAGAATGAAAAAAATAACAAAACAAATATCCATAATGTTAGCAATTGTCTCACATGCCATATTCTATAAGTAAGCATATGGCACAAATATAGGCCCCAAAATGTATGCATCTGCCAATCTATCTTTACCTGAATATGAATCTGAATCTGAATCTGAATCATAGAGGGAGATTGAAATCAAAAGGGATATGGATATGGAGAGATGAGATGAGATGGAGAGTATCATTTGAGAATACTGGATTGCTTGCTTATAAAACTATTCTATTGTGATTGTGATAACAATGTAAGGCACAGATGAAGATTGAAGTACAGAGGAGTGTGAAATAACCGATGTAGAAATGGCAAAATATTCATATGTATATGTACATAAGTGGGAAAAAATTCAAATAAAGTAACCGCCTAATCATCGATGTCCACCAAATTTAAATTTTAACTCGATCGAGATGAAATTGTATCCGACCGATCTAATAAGCAAATGAACCATTACGGTAGATACACAAATATACAAAGGCATATTTTACAATATGAAATAAATAAACAAAAACCACACCAAGCAACATTTTAATACACACTTGAAAACAAAAAAAAAAAACAAATTAAAACTGATTCAAGAGATCAAGCTCGATGTAGAAACAACTCACTAACTAAAGTAAAGAGCGAAATTGGTATGTATTTATGTAGCTACAAGGACGACAACCAAAAATAGATATAATACAGCTTTTTATACCTCAGATATGTTTCTATATGTATGTAAATGTACGAAGGGATATCTCACGCAATGCAAAGTAACATGAAAACGGCAAAATCGAGTACATCTAAGCCCACTTATCGTCGATAAGGTTCATAAGTACAGATATTTTGATAGGTAGTTAGATGAAAACAACTCATTTACGAATGTAACTTTTATATATTTTTTTAGGTAACTTGTTTTTATTGATACGCAATTTCCAACATAAATCTAAATGTGCATTAAAAACCAGACTCTTAAATAGTATTTCCGGGACATGGTTAGTGGGACAGCTCTGGATGTTAGCGGGAATCTATCTATATATATATATATATATAAACTATGAGATATATGTCATAATACAGCGTACATATAAGCAACTGTACTTTGAATCATAAGTGTTATATTCTTTCCATGTTATCGGGCTTAAAACCAAAAAAAACGTTTATATGATAAAAGATATTTTCTCATGCGTGTCTAGATTTTACATAAGTACATATATTCCTAACTTAACACCAACAAAAAATGGATATGACATTCTATGTGATCTGAGTTCTATAGTTATCCTTTGTTAAACAATGCATATGTATATGTGTATGTATATAAAACAAAAACAACGTGAATTATATACATAAGTAAAGGCTGAGAGGGCATACATACATATGTGCGTATTATGTTTTAAACTTCAATTTAAACACGTTTTGGTACCGATTGATATTCATATATATGGCTTTCGTTTACCAGCAAATCGGAAAGAGAAAGTAATTAAATTAATGCATATCAGTGATTACAATAATGATGTACATACATGCAAAACAATAAAAAAAAAAAATGATGAAAAGAAAATAATGTCTATGTGTGACCTCACTAGCACACAAAAAACGTGTATGTATATCTATTCTTAGTACCGAAATATTCAATCAATTTAAAAACCCTTTACGTGTGTGGACATATGTAAGCATAGTGGTAAATAATATAAAATGTATGTACTATGTATAGTAACAAATATAACTTCCATATGAGTATTTTTCGTATTACCTTTAGTAGAATAAAGATTATCGTATAATTAAAACGCATTGTTTATAAACAACAACAAAAATTAGTGATCTGCTTCGATCACCGATTCACCTTTTTAAAAACAATTGGATATTGTTAACAAGCAAACAAAAAACCAAAACAAAGTTCGATGTTTTCTTCGCACTGTTGCATAAGTATTCAGTATTCTGAGAACAGATGTCCTTTTACAAGATTAGTATTCACGGCAAAATAAAAGCTCAAAAACAGTACCTATAGGTATGTATGTACCGCGGTAATATAGTTGAGTACTTCTTACCTTACCTATGTAAATAAATAAATGGATACATTTTACCCTTCCTAGGCACGGATTTTGATTTACACAGCGAAAATGAGGCATTATATACTTTGGTTCCAAAATATTTTAAGGCCTTAATTTTTTTTTTAATTGTTAAATTAATAATACTGTTTTAACTGTCTTGATGGTTGAATTCCCTTTTCCTCTCTACTGTTTTTCTTTAACGCTGGATTATTTTCTAATGTTTATAGCAATTGCTTTCAGATTTTTCAGAGCAGTAAAGTTCCATATAAAAACTACCTTTATCCCAATCATTGTAATTGAATTAAAATAATAAGAGTTACAAACTTATGGATTTTCAAATCCTAAGTAGTTCTTATAATTTGTTTTAATTTACTGATTAAAAAAAATTAATATTTAACTTCAGCCTTTTTAGCAAATATCTCACGGAAATATGAAAGAATACTCAACAAAGCCCCACAAAAATGGTAATGCTGCATAAGAAACGTATTTAACGGTATTAATATTTAAATTTAACGTTTAAAAGCCAATGTGACCGCGCACACTTAACCGATCCCTTATCGATATATCAAGAAAATTAAATAATCGATAGGTTTATTCACGGCCATCACTAGTCCCTAGCAGCCGTATCGATAGTGCAACGCGTGTATTCGATATATCGATACTATCGTGAGTGGTTCAACCAGCTCTATATTATTTATAGGCCGCATTTTGTTTTCTTTTAACGTTACCATTTCATTTAAATATTATTTTAGTTTTTAAAAATCCGGCAACGAAATTGAAAGTGAGTGCTAGTGTGGACTGCGAGTATTTTGTGGAGTTACTTCACTGGACAAATTGGGGCTGGGAATTCGGAAACGAAACGGGGTGGGGACATTGGGACAGAGTTCTCTATTCTATTATCAATCCCAAAGACCATGTACCGGCGCACTTGCTAAAATGACTCTGACTTCACCTTGACTAAAGTACACACAAAGTACACACATTGCACTGCGGGATGGCAAATCGGGATGATAACAGTAACTGATTTTCCGTGTGTTCCAGTTTTCACCCCATAGCACACCATATATACACACATATTCGCCAGATCCTACATAAATCGAAAATGTTGAAGCTACGTAACCTATTGGCCGTCGGCAAAGGCAACAACAACGCTGTCCGGTAAGACAAACAACATGCATATACAACAAAAGAAATATATATTTCCCACAGCTGTGTCTCTATCAGTGGGGAGTACCTATCCAGGGGTACCTGTACCTGCGCTATAGGTACTTTCACCCATCAAACCTGAAACATAAAATCAATATATATATCCCTCTATTGATAGTGTTTATATTTTTAACTTAAGAGAACTAGTTCTTATTATGTTCATTTGAATAATCTTTTTATTTTTAATCATGAAAAGTTAATATACCATTCATTTTTGGTTTTTAAAATGAATGAGATTTTTTTTAGCTTTACCAAAATCCTGGAATACTTACTTTTAAAAGATAACCTATACCCCTTTTAGGTACAAATAGAGAGTACCTTCAACAGCACTGGTTTTCACACACCTACGTGACATATGTAAATATGTATGTCCGGTTCCAAAATGCGTATATATGAAAATGCCGTTGCGACGTCAGCAAGCTAAATCGTATGCAAAAACCCAATAAGCACTACGGTGCGAATTTTGGTCACCCTTCATATATATATTTTAATAGTATATACTTTTTTAATGTATATTAATGTTCTGATATATCAGAAATATCAGAAATCATGAATATAGAATTGTTGAGCAATTCTTAAGATACATACATAATTTCAAACTCCTAATTTTATTTTTTGTTGATCAGCAGAAAGGAAATTGCGTTCTTATAATTTATCTTATTTCCCTATATTCCAATTCTACTGTCATAGGTAAAGCGTACTTTGATAAGCACCCTTTCACAAATTAAATGTTATATCTTTGATCTGAAGGTGCCACTTATTAAAAAACGTTATCAAGAAAAGACGTCTAGGCCTGATTTTTTATTGAATATTTTTTAGAGGTCTTTATGGATTCTCTTACACAGACGAAAATACCTTTAAAAATATGAATTTGAATATGAAAAGTCCTATTTTAAGACTAAAAATCATTTTTAAAATACCTAAATATTAAATAACTCTTCTAACTTTTACTTTTAGCACCCTATCCACCACTGCAAGCTGCAACGATTCGGAATCATGGTTCTCAAAGCTGCTCGTCCGAAAAATAGAGCCAACCAAGGAGTCGCACAGTCGTATGCTCAGCGATAAGGAAATCATATATGCCCTACATACGCACAATGTCAGGCCCGATTCCATGGGCAACTATTTAAACAACTAGTAAGTGAGGGGATAAAAATATTTAAAAAAGCTGAAGTACCAAAGAAAAATCTCATTAAAATATGCCTACGAAGTATGCTGAAGCATACTTTTATGCCCACTTTCATGTGGTTTTAATTCTGTTATGATTTCTCAAGTACTCTCAAACACAAATTCATTTAAAAATACCTTATCTCTCTTCAGCAAAAATACTGTGGCACTGATAAACGAAAAGAAGGCGAATCTTTCGTGCGAATTGGTGGCATCATGGACCGTGCAGGTGGGTGATATGGATCAATGCCTTCACCTCTGGAAGTACACGGGGGGCTTTGAGAAAATCGACCAGGCCAAAGAGGACCTTTGGAATGATCCCGAGTATCTCAGCCTGATGCAGGAACGTTCGAAGTTCTTGCGATCCCGTCACTTGCAATATCTCTTGGCATTCAGCTACTGGCCGCAGATTGCCAGTCGTACCGGCAAGAACATTTACGAAATGCGGTGAGGAAACGTAAAGTCTTCTTTGTTAATAACTCTATAATCGATCTAATATCTCAGCTCATACCGACTGACCCCTGGCACCATGATTGAGTGGGGAAACAACTGGGCCCGTGCCATCAACTACCGCAAGCATAACAACGAGGCATTTGCCGGATTCTTTTCTCAGATCGGAAGACTGTACAATGTTCATCACATTTGGTGTAAGTTCAACAGATACTCTTTTTTATTGCTGAAAAGTATTCGAATAACCTTTGTATTTAATAATAAATTTATGTTTCTTGTTGTCAATAGGTTACAAATCTCTGCAAGACCGCAAGGAGACCAGGGAAGCCGCTTGGCGATCCCCCGGATGGGACGAGTGTGTGGCCTATACGGTGCCCTTAATCCGTGACATGCACTGTCGCGTCCTTGCGCCCACTGAGTTCTCGCCTTCACAATAATTAGCACCGGGCGTAGCGATCTGAAATAAATTGGAAGCTTATCTAGGCCTGATCAAATTTGCTGTGAAAACAATCGAGAACGTAACTTTGCCCCCTTTTCCTGTTGAATAGTTATTGTAAATAATGCCAGCTATATATGCAATCATTTTTATTTTTTTTTTTTAAGTATAATTAAGGTCAAAGTGAAAATTTCTATCCAAAAATTTTTACAAGCCCTACGTGTGTATCACCTACGACCCTTGAATTTAACAAAACCAATTTTGTTTTATAAAATAAAGCAATTATGAAACTGTTTATTAGTGTTTTTTAAAGCGTTTTCGATGGAATTTTTGGTTGTAATCCTTTAATTGATCCGATATGTACCAACAATATAATATATCAACTTCTTCAATTAAAAACTCCAGAAGCACCCAGGGCCAGAAATACAAACAGCAATTTAGGTGATGAAAAAGTAGTATACCGCATAAGGTTTTAATCAGATCGTTGTTTTCTTGAAAAAACTTGTTATCCTGTGAATTAGTGGTATAAACTTAAAGTAACGTATGATACATTTGATTTGCCCGCGAAAGTTGTTGAAAAGAAAATTTTAAAGCATATACATAAATATACTAATTTTCACCAGTTTTAAATCGTCGCAGAAAGGTAAATTTAACATTTTTTTGACTAAGATTGCGATTCTCCCCAGTTTCTTAACTCTTAAAGAAATATCATAACATTTACACATAGAGATTTTAACTTCATTACTAAATTAACTAGAAAACAAGTTTGACGAAAATATGTAAACCGTTGGTTTTTTTCCTCTTAAGAATCTGGAATATTATTGTTTCATATTGTGGCCTAATTAAATCCAATTACTGATTTTAAACATTTAAGAATATTTGTCAAAACAAATCTGAAGTCTTATTACACCATAGGCACTATAACATAAATATATAATGAAATCACCTTCTGATTCTCAACTTTAAAACTAAAACCATTGTTTAGAACCAGCCAATCTCTGTTATCCTTAATATTATTGGTTAATTGTTTGTGGATGACCACAGATTAGTGCCTTAGAATTTTCGACTTTCAGTTTTCAGGCAAGTAAAGAGGAAAATGAGTTCAAGAAGGAGTCCCAATATCGCAAGAGAACAGATCTCGGCCCTCGATGCTATATTGTGCTGGACAGCCGCGGGTAGTTCCCCTACAAATATATGTTATAGATATCATATTATCATAACATATTATGTATTTATCACCTGTGAGCACTTGAACTTGGACAATTACAGTGAACAGTCTGCCAAGAGAACAGGAATAGTTTCCACTATCGGAGAGTTTTGCATCCCCAATGGAGATACGACTAGTTAGCCATACGTCGGAAACACTATAACAACAATATATTAAATTTAATGTTTATAATAATAAAAAAATAATAGTACAAGTACCTTAAGCGTTTATTGGTCATTCCTTGAAGAGGCTCTTCATCTTTTGCCCAGGCTATAAACTTGGTAAAGTACTTTTCCAGATCCTGGCCAGAGAATTTTTGTGGCGTCTGACTTGAGTTTCCGATTAAATTAAGCTCACTATTCGTCTCGTTAAATAGTTTTTGTACAGCATCATTTGCAGATTCAGTTGATTTTAGAATGGTTTGACGTTCTTTTTGGAAAAAGCTACGCGATATTTGGCATTGTAGATCGACGGTGCTTCCTGACTTATAGTAACGATCCCCCACATCCCTCTCGTGCTCATCGATTATCCTTAAAGGGGGTTCTGAAAATGTAGAACTTATCAGTGATTGTAGGTCTTATAAACTTAATCCGAATCCTACCCAAGATGGTGAGGTTGGTGGTGAATACACGGGGGGGATGAGTGGAAACCTGGCACATGTAAACTCCGGCATCTTCAGTCTGCGTTGGGTTGATAAGTAACCGCCAATTGTTCGGGTACTGGAACTTCACCCGAATCCTCGGGTCTCCACTGTAGGTGACGTTACCGACAGTCAGGAGTGATACCTTTTCCGCCGTTCGCCTGACCCACATGACCTGAAAATAGGAGGTGGAAGGATGAGTTTTAAAGGAACTGCTGGATTTTGGTATATTTAAGATTTTTGGTGGCAGTAGTTTTAAAGGTATTTGACTTCTGGATGACGTGTTCTGCGTTGATTTCAAGACAAACCCACGTTTTTTAAATTAGAAGACATTTTGAAACCAACTTGAAAATTAAATTATAAAAATAGAAGCTTAAATGATATTTTTTTAAGTAACTGCTGAATTTTGGTATATGTAAGTACAATTTTCCTGGCAGAAGTTATAATTTTGTGGTCTATTTTTATGGGCATTTAACATCTATACAAATTTTTGATCACAAGAAAAAGGTACAAATTTAGTGAAATTTTTAAGTATATTTAAAAAACAAATATGTAACATTTTTAAAAATGTGTTTTTTATAAATTCTTAAAATAATATGTTATTATTTAATTAAAATTTGTGTTTTATTTAAATGCTTTCCCATTTTCGCGTTTTCTTTTATGATAAAAGATCATATTTACTTAGTTATGGAAAGATGACCATTTTATAAGATTTAATTTGAATATCAAGGAAAACAGAAGAGAGGATCAAAAATATAAATATTCCGCAAAAAGCTCCTTCCTACTTTTATTCCCAAAGCTCTCTCCTGCAGACAACGGTTAAGCAAAAGAGAGGATCAGAAATAAGAAAATGGCGGAGAAGGAAAATGGTTGCGAAGTCAAAAGCTTCCCCCACTCTCTCTCATTTCGTTTTCTTCCTTAAGACGCGGCGCATTGCGTCGCAAAATAGATAAATAAATGTGTTTTAAAGTGTTTAAAAAGTGATAAAAATTAGTGCAAAGTATAAATAACAAGTGATTGCAGGCCGGGTTAATGAAATTTGATAAATTGTTCACGTTTAAACGGCTAAATTCTGTTTTTTTCAGCTGGGTGCTGCGCAATAGCTGCATACAAAAGTATGTGTGAGCGTTCCACCCACACTTACACGCCCGTGTGCGTGGGTCTGCATTACATACATATATTTATGTACAGCTTGGTCTGATCTTCAAAGGTTAAAACATACATATGTACATGCACATATATCTAAGCAATTGCAAAACACAATTAGGTAAGTAAAATGTAATTAATTTACGACTGTTTGCCTTTTAATTGATATACGTTAATATATATGTATATATTTGGCCCTTTTATTTTGATTTCACAACATTTGCAAGTTTTTAATTATAATTAAAACAGCTTCCCCCTCCGCGACTTTGTCCGCGTTTTATAAACTGTTTTTAGAGGGGCTGGAAAGATTTTAACCCTTTTTGACAATGAACTACTTTTTTTAATTCCGCGGATCATTGAGGTGTCTCAATTATACATTTTTAACCAACTTTTATGTGTTATTTTCCCAAAACCGCTTTTTTAAATTCCATAACTTGAGTTATTAGTCTCCGTTTTTGATGTGGGATACCTCTATGAACTTGTGGGTGAATTCTCTAATATTATACATTCAAATACTTATTTTCAAAGAGGGTCCAAATTTTAACCCATTTTCATGTTCGATTTTTCCGTTGTTCCAATGGTTTTCGGAATGGGGACCCAAAACTGCACTTCAAAATTCCATAACTTCAGTTACTGGACTCCGATTTTGAAATGGGATACCTCTATGAGTTCGTGCTAAAATTCTCTAATAATCTACATTCAAATATTTGTTTTCAAAGAGGGTCAAAATTTTAACCCATTTTCATGTTTGATTTTTCGGTATTTCCAATGGTTTTCAGAATGGGGACCCAAAACTGCACTTAAAAATTCCATAACTTCAGTTACCGGATTCCGATTTTGAAGTGGGATACCTCTATGAATTTGTAGTAAAATTCTCTAATAATCTACATTCAAATATTTGTTTTCAAAGAGGGTCCAAATTTTAACCCATTTTCATGTTCGATTTTTCCGTATTTCCCATGGTGTTCAGAATGGGGACCCAAAACTGCACTTCAAAATTCCATAACTTCAGTTACCGGATTCCGATTTTGAAGTGGGATACCTCTATGAGTTCGTGGTAAAATTCTCTAATAATCTACATTCAAATATTTGTTTTCAAAGAGGGTCCAAATTTTAACCCATTTTCATGTTCGATTTTTCCGTATTTCCAATGGTTTTTAGAATGGGGACCCAAAACTGCACTTAAAAATTCCATAACTTCAGTTACTGGACTCCGATTTTGAAGTGGGATACCTCTACGAATTTGTGGTAAAAATCTCTAATAATCTACATTCAAATATTTGTTTTCAAAGAGGGTCCAAATTTTAACCCATTTTCATGTTCGATTTTTCCGTATTTCCCATGGTGTTCAGAATGGGGACCCAAAACTGCACTTCAAAATTCCATAACTTCAGTTACCGGATTCCGATTTTGAAGTGGGATACTTCTATGAGTTCGTGGTACAATTCTCTAATAATCTACATTCAAGTATTTGTTTTCAAAGAGGGTCCAAATTTTGGCCCATTTTCATGTTCGATTTTTCCGTAGTTCCAATGGTTTTCAGAATGGGGACCCAAAACTGCAATTCAAAATTCCATAACTTCAGTTACTGGACTCCGATTTTGGTGTGGGATACCCCTATGAATTTGTGGTTTAATTTTCTAAAAATCTACATTCAAATATTTCTTTTTGAAGGGGGTCAAAATTTTATCCCACTTTCATGTTCGATTTTTCCGTATTTCCAATGGTTTTCGGAATGGGGACCCAGAACTGCACTTCAATGTTCCATAACTTGAGTTATTGGACTCCGATTTTAATGTAGGATACCTCTATGAATGTGTGGTTGAATTCTGTAACATTTTACACTTTAACTACTTTAAAAAAACATTTTATGTTTTTTTGATTGATTTTTCCCTATTTCCAATGGGATCCCTGCTCTTCAAAGCCAATCAAAAACAATGTTACATACAAATAGCATATACAAAGCTCACTTACAGTTTTGTCCTTGAGCATACCGACACGGCAATTGAGCACCGCTTCCGTGAACAAATGCACGGCGGACACGAGGTTGTCCCCTGAAGTGGGCGAGTTGATGGGCTCCTCAAAAAAGGGTCCCCAGTGGTGCTCATGGTGGTGCTTACTGCGTGGTCGTTCTGTGACACGAGCGAATCCTGTTGGGGTTGAAAAATTGGTTTCGGAAAATGTCAAAAGTTCTATTTAATTTTTAAGTGCCTTTCATTCTGTTTACAAGCTACATATATACGATTGTAAAAATATAACGTTTTTTAATTTTGATAAATACATACCTATAAAAAATGTTTAAGCTCAAATAGGTACGATATATAATTCTATCGGTATTATACATAGTCACTACTATAATTCACTTTATAATATTGATATTTTCGATATTATACTAAACATAATATTTTGGTCTATTCTTTTCCTAATCCATACATACCACTCGCTGTCCAATGATTTCTCGTGCGCGTGGAATCGATTGACTGTTTTATCGTACTTTTATCGGTTTTTAGGGACGCAAATGCTGTTGTTGGCATTGTCACTGTCGAGAGCTGATCAGTTGTCCCTAAATTTTTGATTGAATGGCTATCGCTAATCTCCATGCTGCCTGGGGTCCCTATGGATGTTTTGCCCCTGCTAATTTTCGTGGGAATGGCGCTATGCGATGAGTTCGACTCCTCGACTGGCATTTGGGACTGGTACTGGTCCTGGTCCTGCGATGAATATCCGTAAAGGGTTGCTCTTGTGGCTGACGGGTAATCAGCTGTTGATAATGTCGTTTTAGTTTTATTATAGTCATCAAAAAGTAAAGTACGATTCTCGCCGATTCTGGGTTGTGTACTGGTCGAGGTGGTTTTTTGTTCGATGGATGCCGTGCCTGGATTGCACAAAGGTTAATTAATTTAATAAAAAAAACACGTGGAAAAAACGTGTTTCGGTTCAAAGAATGCCATTAGTTTTGGTGATTTGTATTATTATTGGTATGTATTAATGTTTGTTTTGTTTGATGTAGAGACATCGGTTTAAATTTGGTATATGGGAAGAAAAAAATTTCAGGTTTGAATACTAAAAGTAGTCTTTAAGGTCTTTAAAATAATATTTGTGTTCCTTGAAAGTTATCGAGAGCCTTAGCTTCTTAAGCTCCTAAAGAACAAAATATAACAAGAATCAAAAATAATCGAAATATAATACATACAAAACAATGGAAGAATATTTAATATATTGTCCTGTAACCAATCTCTAAAAATAAAACTTATGAGATGCACTTACATAGAACATGAACTTGCGATCCAATCACCAAGAAAACTGCGAGCAGCCGAAGGAGGCTCAGACTAGTTAGTGAATTGTAGGAGAGTGGCGACGTCTGGGCAGCGTTCGATGCTGGTGATAATGTCCTATATCCTTTTGGAAGCCTCATCCTTTGCACGGGGCGACGTGACTTACGGAATGTTCTCGAGAGAAATCAGTAACCTTCATCTTAGTTTCGAAAAAACTCAGCTGCTTTCTGGCACTGAATCTTATCGATAGCTGATCTTCCCTTTTCTCTTTACCATTTAAAGAACTGCAAAATAACGAAAATAACAAGTATTTATGGAAGAATCACAGAGTCTTATTTAGACCTTGAATCTTAAACATTCCAAAAAAATCCAATGACTTATTTTTCATATAGTATATATTATGTTCTGATTTCTTTTACACATGTTGCATAAAGTTGGGGTTACTTGTGGAAAAAAAATGTTATATACACAAACCTATACCTCTGCAAAAATATTTAGAAAAAACTTGACTGTTGTAGCTTTTCTTTTTATGACTCTTCGTTAATTCTTTAATTTTTAGCAAACGTTCTACGTATATAGATAATAAATCTTTTTGTAAAATATTTTCATATCTCGATCAATATACAGACTTCAAGAAAGAAGGCCCTAAATTTCCTTTCTATAGCCCCTAGTTGTACAAATCTGATCCTACTTTAAAAATAAGCAGAAATGTAATATTAAATTCCTTAATAACTGCATTATAATTTAATTACCTCAATTAAACTGTAATATATATTAGGGCACCTTCGTTACGGTTTAAATTAAAAAGCTTCCTTTGAAAATGTTGCTTGAGCTAACTTTTTTTCTACCATTTCCCAAAGATTTTAAAAACCTTCCATTTTAAAGCCCATAATTCGACAACACCTCTTAACGTTTGCAGATTTGTTTACTATTAATCTATATTCAAATTTTTGATTCCTGTTCAAGTAAAATTGTTGACCTACATTTACAACTTGCAGTTGCATTTCATTTTTGCTCAGAATTTAAGTAAACGGTTCCGACCCTCCTACCAATATTTCGATCTGCACCACTAGGCCCATGGGAGTGGGCTATTCAGATAAATGCAAGAAACTATTAGGTCTTGCCTAAAGGTATAGAGAACTACATAAATAAAGTAATGAAAAAATGTCCCGTGCGGCATGACCCGTATTTAGCTTGAAGTATAAATAATTTTCGGCTTTTAGGCTGTTGGCCGTGAAAGCCACTTTTGTATTTGCATTGTGCAAGCTGACTTGTTTTGCTTAAATTGTCTCGGAAATGGCAAATTTCTCGAAATGTATCTGAAATCTAGTTAAGAGTATTCTCGATGGTTCATTAAATATCCGTTTTATCAGATATCCATGTCTCCATAAATGGTGATACCATTATTTAAACCAAAGCTACCATTAAGGGATCAAAAAATATGTTCGCTTTGGGTAAATCTACCCAGATATTAAATTTGGCCAATCATGCGTTCTTTTAAAAAAGGCTTTTTGACTCCCTTTCTATAAGGAATATAATTTGTAGCAGGACAGTGAGTAGGTGGAATTTTGTATTCGGCGCATTCGCCTCCAGCGTTATTTCTTGTTTTATTTTTGATTTTTCTCATCTATCCCAATTTAAGCTTCCTGCTTATACACACAGGAAATGCGATATATTTTAAGGCCTAAGGCGCAATGATTATGGTTGAAATCAAAAATAATGCGGTACCTCAGGTGGTAAAATTCTATTACATTTGTTCTTTTTAGTTTCTATTCGAACAATTTTACTTTCAGCTAGATAATAGTTTTTAAACAAGATAATATATTGCAAGTCCCTTTGTCTTATGAATCATAAGTTTGACTTACCATGTGCAGCGATGTGTTGTGTTGACTACCATTCAAGCTACCAGATGAGAATTAAAGCGATTAGAAAATCACTTGCTTTGTTTAGCACATGTCACATTCGAACAAAAACACTGTCACTTTTGCATTAAGTTTGCAATGCGAAAAAAAAATGTATTAAAAAAATATTATTCTATCCAGGCATCAAACAGTTCTTGACGATTTTTTATTAACACATTTTTACACACACAAAAAAATAATGTAGCAGGCCTATTCCACATAGGATGTTAAGAAACACGCAGATGGGTGCGTTTTATTCATGCGCTCTATCCGGCGAGCACGTAGGTATCGCTTATCCTTGAAAACCGTAATGAACTGTCGTTGGCAAAAACTTTAGACTCCATTCGAAGCATCCAAACGAATAGCAGAGAAAGTCCGAGTGAAAGCTTGTCTGCACACTCAATCCCTTTGAGTGAGTCACTCTATGGTTGGTTGGCACTGAGTGTTTTGGAATATCCACCACTGCTTAGGACATCTCCCCTAGCTGGGGAAGTACCTCCAGTCCCAAAGCTTTTCCTGGGATTTGGGTAAAACTGGGAAAAATATTTCCGGAGGGGATGGGTTGGAGTGACATCTGAGCCTAGATATTAATATAATTAATTTCTTACAAGGTTTTAAAGAATTTCGTGAAGATTCAACTGCTTTTGTAATAAAATTTGAGTTACATTTATTTTAATAACATTCCTTTATTTCGATAAATTTCTTTTCTGTACTATTACTTTTCTTAAATTTAAATAAAAATTAATACAAGTAACTGACTTGTAGAAAGAAAGATATAATTTACTTCTACACAATTTTTGTAAAATTATTTTACTATGCATTCAAGACGCCAAATTTGAGTCTTTATCTACAATTTTAGATCATTATTTCTAAGCATACATAACGGAATGTGGGTGATGGGTCGGATTTAAACTTGCCTGAATAGTGATCTAAATTTTTAGATAAAGTTTTACTAATATCCTGAAAAGTTGGGGTTGTTTTCATGATGATGTCAATAAGTGTTATATAAACGTAGGTCATAGGTTGAATTGTAATATGCAAAAATAGTGATCTAAATTTCAAGATAATTTATTACTAACATCCTGAAAAGTCGGGATTGTGTTCATGGTGGTGTCAAAAAGTGTTATACAAAGCGCTGGAAAGCTTTATTTTGATTTTCTGTTATATTTTTGTTTCAAAGCAATTCTAACTTAAATTAAGATCCTGGCCACAAAAATAACGCAAAATATAACTAAATATTCCGTGCATATTCGAAAAAAATCTGATCTAAAACTGTAATACGTTAAAAAGTCGGGTTCGTGTCCTTGGTTATATCGTAAAGTGTACCATAAAAATAAAAGGAATTTTTCAAGCTGGATTTAAAATATACTTTAAGCTTGCAAAAATTCACTTTGAAATCCAGAGTGCTTATTTGCTCAAAATTGTGCCTACCCTTATTTCTCAATTTGTATCCCAAATCAAAGCAAGCTTTGAGTTTTTACTTACAGTAGTAGAATATATGTATTTAGCCGATTTATACGCAACTCCACACACGTCGGATATTTCAATGTGTGTTAGTCACACAACATTCAAATTTTGTTATTAAAGATATCATATTTCCCAAGAATGCATACCGTATGTGTCAAGAATCTAAGCACCGAAGAGTTAGAGGAAGTAAGCAAATGGATGAGACAGAATGGTATAAGTACACATAGGATACGTCGCGAGTTTTCAGATGTTTTACCTTTGGCGGAAATCTTCAAACGCGACTATCCACGTCTGGTCGATCTCTATAACTATCCGAAAAAGAGTAGTGTGCAGCTGAAATTGGCCAATTGGGAGACGTTCAACTTTAAGGTGTTATCCAAGTTTAATATGACGTTGAGCAGGGATTTTATGGAGCAAATGGCGAATGGTGTTCATGGTGCAGCTGAAGTGCTATTGCATGAGGTGATACGATTGGAGAAGCGACAACGGGTGGCCGTGGAGCGAAATGCGGCAATGCGGCAGGACCAGACGTGGGAGGAGAATGATGAGGTGAAGACTGTTGTGGTTAACAAGCAAGTTGGCGATGGCATCGTTCAGGTTCCACAAAAAATGATACTTTACTCGCTGTACGAGAAGATGACACGTGACAGTCAAGCCAAGGACGCTATTATTGATGCCTATCAGCAGCGACTGGCTCACATGGAGAGTATTATCAAGATTAAAACGGAGCGCATCGACGAGCTTCTCATGCAGATGGGTAAACTTCCTCAAAAGCGAGCCAATCCTGGCAACGCATCCACTTGCTTCTACCCATTTGATGGCAAGGACTCCTCAACCCGGAAGCATCCGAGTCCCATACAAATGGCTTCATCTACCGATCCGGACAGTACGCCCTAGTGCCGCCTTCATGTATTCACTTTGAAAAAGTTATTTATTGTTAGATTATGCAACTAAATTACCGATTACAGCTGAAATAGATTAAGAAACAGATGAAGTTTGTGCAATTTAATGGCAATCTACTTAGTAATTGGCAATCGATAAACACTGTTGATAGTTGAAAAGCATTGAAAATCTATGGTTGTTTTAGTAAAGTGTTTGTTTCTTTATAGGGTGGCACAGGAAAAACCTGCATTTTAAATTGGCCCAACATTGCGATTTATATTTACAAAAAACCGTAAGTTACCCATTTATAAAAATAAATATACAATTCCCATTTTTTTTGTTAATACTAATGACATTTTATTTGTTTATCATTTTCCAGTTATCTGTTCACACGCCGTGTTCACTGCACACCATCGATATATTTCCAATTAGGTGTTCTTTTCTAGCATTCGAGGACTGCATTGCTTTGAGAAACATCTTTTTAAGTTTCGTGTAGTAATTCCAACACTTTCTGCTCTTAACAACGGCAAGTCGCATATCGCTTTCGTCAATCTTGCCCCCCAAAATATGATCGAGGTATTTACGCAATTTCTCATACTCCAAGTACTCCCTTAACAATAGCGCCTTCTTGTTGCTGCCCCGGTTCTGTATGATTGCCACGTTGATCTTAGAAATGATGTCCTCATACTCGGGACTATGATTGGTTTTGTTATGTTGATGAATTTGTAAAATATTCTTGAGTATTATAGTACAGGGATCTCCAGATGAAAAGGGAATCTAAAGACAGAATAAACAAGGGGCGAAAAGACAAACAAATACATTTACAAAAGAGCTCTGCATGAGACAAGACTATATATTTACTCCGACTTTGCCATGAAATCCATTTTGATTCTTGAGCCAGAAATAAAATCGATAATGGGTCATATTACCGTATTTTAAAGATTGTCATTAAACTAGGATAATATACAAATTACCAATTGGGAATTGAACAATAAACATTGTTTCCAAAAAAGTATGCTTAACAATCAAAATTACAGTCGAACTTTCATATCTCGAACTTTCCAAACTCGAATTTTTAATAACTTCTTTCATACCGATTTGTCTCCATAAGTCGAACTTCCATAACTCAAATATCTCTATAACTTGATGTCCGATTCCGAATTGCCTTGAATGTAAACAATAGTTTCTTATTTACATAACATTGCTAACCAAAATCTTGTTGTTTGCCGACATACCGTGAAAACTAAAGTAATTCTTTAGTACTTGGTACGAGCTCTGGAAAATCTTTCAATTCGTGGTTTCTTCTCCGATTTGTCTTAAGCTAAAGTAAACATAAATAAAACATAAATTACTTAGCAAAAAGTCATTGAACTCGAATATTTTGTTGATAGTTGGTGGTTCGAGTTATGGAAGTTCGACTGTAATTAAGTATTTTAGGAATAATATTTAGTATACCGTTTAAATTATAGGAGCTGTTTCGTTCTTTTCGAGTATTACAAAAATTGTACAAAATCGTTTTGATGGATCCCCGTTAAATGGGTATAAAATTCGACTTTAAATAAGTTTGAGATTATTTTAAAATAATAGTTTGCAACACAAATGCAAGATCACGTACCAGATAGCTTGAATTTAAAGATGAGTTTTTACCAACTATTAAATCATATATGTCTTTATTACAATAATGTAATGCCAATCCTTCCAGCTTTTCTGTCTGCGTTTCCATCTCTTGATCCGTAGTTTCATCGGTGGCTTGAAATGATGGTTCATGAATTGAAATATTCTGAGATACATGGCATGTCAGATGATTTTTCCTTATTATGTTCCATTTTTCAGCATTTGACTTGGCCAAGCCTGATATTAGATTCTTGGCCATACCTTTATAATATTCTATACACGCGGGCGACGCATTCGTTTCGTTCATATTTTTCCAAACTTTGTTTAGCTTAAACAACATTAAGCTTTCCAGCTCGATTCGCGTTTTGTCGAAATAAGTAAAATTTGAGTAAAGTTTGGCTTTAATATGACTGCTCTCTTCAACTGTCATATTTGAGGTCAAATTTAGCTTCATGATATTTTCTTCAAATTCGGCATTATTTGAAGAACTGTTTTTTCCAATCCAATACTTATCTTTTAGTTTATTAAGTCTTTTCTCAAAATCATCAAGTATTGCCACATCAACTGCCTAAAAATAAAAATATAAATAAAACAGCTTAGGCTAAGGTGCCGAAAAATATTACCTCTGAACTCTTTGTTCGAATCAAACCAGTAGTTGTAAAATTCAGGTGGTTATCAATTTTTGATTTCGGCTGAGTAATTCTTTTTGATCTATCACTATTAGAATGCAGCAAAACATTCTTTGTTGTGCTTGATTTAGTAAAAACAAGCTTGGTGCTCTTAATTTCCATTTTTGTAAGGGGTTCTGTTTTATTTTTATATGGTGCAGGAAATAATCCGATGGTTGTGGTAGATGGCTTGGTAGAGGGACCATCCCATGAAATATGCTTTGAAAGTAAAAAGATTCACATTTTATCTAATATATAAATTGTATAAAGCACATTTAACTAATATTCTATTCTTAGTTTAAAACTTTAATATTATATTTATTTATTATGATAAGAGAGTTACCTTTCTAGCGGTCGTCGTAATATCTGCGTGCTTTGTAATTGTACAGACACAAGAACAGATATCCTCATCAGGATCAATAACGCATGTACACAAGCAAAGCGGTACATCTGTAGTTCCAGTACTGGATGAAAGTTCACTTGAAGGCTGTTCCGTGCTTAACAATCTCGAGATTGTTGGCTTACTAGTGCTAGATTGAAATAAACTTGTAGTTATTCCACTCACGGATTTCGTTTTTTCACTTTGTACAATGACTTTTTTATGACTGGAAGCACTAGAAACTATGTATTTACTTTGCGACGAGGTGCCAATTACATTAGATGAAGAACCGAGATCATGATCAGATTTCGCCGTTTTATATGTTGTTGGTGCTTGGGACCTTTTTTCTGAATAACTGACACTTTGTAATGCATTACCTGAAACTTTTTTGGTTGAATAAACGGTTGTTTCAATTTTCACTGTTTTCGATTGTTCGGATAAATTAACATTTGTGTTGGGACTAATGGCTGTTTTAGTTTCTTTTGGATTTATAGTTTTCTCTTTTGAATGTTTAACGCTTTTTGGTGTAGTTTTTGAACGTTTGTCGGTTGAGAAAATCGGCTTGGTCAACATTCCTGTGTCCATTGTTTCCAGTTCAGATAAATTGGCACTTTTGTCGGTAACACTCGAAGTGAATAAATCTTCTGAAGGTGAATTTTCCAACACTAATGGAGTAGTTGATTGAGGTAGATATATCGATACATTTCCTATGGCTTTTGGAGTTCGTTGACTCATTGCTACACTGGAAATCGAAAGCATGCTAAGTAAGCTTGAAAACACACTTTCTTCTGGTGTTATTGTACTCGACTGTGGTAAAGAATTAAATAGTTTCCCGGTTTCTCCTTCAGTTATTTTACCTTTTTTTTGACTCGTAAATGTAAGAGGGTTGGTCGGCTTTCCCTTTTCATATGATGCCATTTTCGATATTTCACTGCTCGATTGAGGTACAAATTCCGATAGCTTGCTTATTTCCTCTTGAGTATTTTGATATTTAACCGTACTTGAAAGTAAAAAGGAGATATCTGAAATTTCTTCGTTTTTTTCTGTACTCGATATTTGATAAGTTCTAATGGATATTTTAGGCGATTGAGGTGCAAATTCCAAAACTGCATTACTTGATTGTGGTAGAGAACTGGACAATTTAGTTTTTACCTGCTGAGGTCTTTGATATTTTTCTGTACTCGACTTTTCCTCTGAAGTTGTTTTGAATGAACTACTAGATATTGTACTCGATTCAGGAAGAGACTTTGTAAAATTCGTACTTGATTGTGGTAAGCATTCCAAACATATTTCCCCTGAAGTGGTTTCAAGTTGAAATATACTTGATTGCGGTAAACATTCGGAACAAGTTTCATCTGAAGTTGCTTGGCTTTTTTCTGTACTTGAAATTCGATAAGATCTAGTATATATTTTAGGCGATGGAGGTGCAAATTCCAAAACTGTATCACTTGATTGTGGTACAGAAGTCGACGATTTGGTTTTTACCTGCTGAGTTATTTGATATTTTTCTGTACTCGACTTTTCCTCTGAATTTTTTTTTAATGAACTACTAGATATTGTACTTGATTCAATAAAAGATTTTGTTAAATTTGTACTTGATTTTGGTAAACATTCCGAACATATTTCTGTAGTTGTTTCCAGTTGAAATGTACTTGATTGTGGTAAACATTCAGCACATGTTTCCTCTGAAGTTGCTTCTTTTTTTTCTGTACTTGAAATTCGAAAAGATCTGGATGATATTGTGCTTAATTGAGAGGAAGACTTTGAAAAGCTTGAAGTTGTCTGCTGTAGAGATTCCGAAAATGTAAACTTTTCCTCTGTAGTTCTCCCTTCCTTATCGGTACTGGACATTTGAACTGAAGTACTGAATATTGTAGGCGATTGAGGTGGTGATTCCAATAATGTTTTACCTGATTGAAGTTGAGATTCTGAAAATGTAGATCTTTCCTCTGTAGTTCTCTCTTCCTTTTCGGTACTGGACATTTGAACTGAAGTACTGAATATTGTAGGCGATTGAGGTGGTGATTCCAATAATGTTGTACTTGATTGAGGCTGAGATTCCGAAAATGTAGACTTTTCCTCTGGAGTTGTTGCGTACTTTTTTGTAGTCGATGTTTGAAAATAACTACTGGGTATTGTACTCAATTGAGGAAAAGTCTTTGAAAGAGTTGTGCTTAATTGCGGTAGCGATTGCGAAAATGTAGATTTTTCCTCTGAAGTTCTTTCTTCCTTTTCGGTATTGAAAATTTGTACTACAGTACTGGATATTGTGGGCGATTGAGGTGATGATTTCAAAAATTTTTTACTTGATTGCGGTTGAGATTCCGAAAATGTAATCTTTTCCTCTGGAGGTGTAGCGTATTTTTCAGTACTCGATGTTTGAGAAAAACCACTGGATATTGTACTAAATTGAGGAAAAGACTTTGAAACAGTTGTGCTTGATTGTGTTTGAGATTCCGAAAACGTAGATTTTTCCTCTGGAATTCTCCCTTCCTTTTCGGTAGTGGACATTTGAACTGAAGTAATGGATACTGTAGGCGATTGAGGTGATGATTCCAATAATATTTTACTTAATTGCGGTTGAGATTCCGAAATTGTAGACCTTCCCTCTGGAGTTGTTGCGTTTTTTTCTGTACTCAATATTTGAAAAGAACTACTGGATATTGTACTCAACTGATCAAAAGACTTTGAAACAGTTGTGCTTGATTGCGGTAGGTATTCCGAAAATGTAGATTTTCTCTCTTCCTTTTCGGTACTGGAAACTTGAACTGAAGTACTGGATTTTGTAGGCGATTGAAGTGCAGACTCCAATAATGGTGTACTTGATTGCGTTTGAAATTCCGAAAATGTAGATTTTTCCTCTGTAGTTCTGTCATCCTTTTCGGTACTGGACATTTGAACTGAAGTAATGGATATTGTAGGCGATTGAGGTGATGATTCCAATAATGTTGTACTTGATTGCGGTTGAGATTTCGAATATGTAGATTTTTCCTCTGTAGTTCTCTCTTCCTTTTCGGTACTGGAAATTTGAAGTGAAATACTAGATATTGTAGGCGATTGAGTTGATGATTCCAATAACGTTGTACTTGTTTGCGGTTGAGATTTCGAATATGTAGATTTTTCCTCTGTAGTTCTCTCTTCTTTTTTGGTACTGGACATTTGAACTGAGGTACTGGTTATTGTAGGCGATCGAGGTGATAATTCCAATAATGTACTTGGTTTTGTTTGAGATTCCGAAAATGTATATTTTTCCTCTGTAGTTTTCTCTTCCTTTTCGGTACTGGACACTTGAACTGAAGTACTGGATATTGTAGGCGATTGAGGTGATGATTCCAATAATGCTGTAGTTGATTGCGGTTGAGATTCCGAAAATGTAGACTTTCCCTCTGGAGTTGTTGCGTATTTTTCTGTACTCGATGTTGGAAAATAACTACTGGATATAGTACTCAATTCAGGAAAAGACTTTAAAACAGTTGTGCTTGATTGCGGTACGGATTCCGAAAATGTAGATTTTTTCTCAGTAATTCTCTCTTCCTTTTCGGTACTGGAAATTTGAAGTGAAGTACTGGATATTGTAGGCGATTGAGGTGCTGATTCCAATAACGATGTACTTGATTGCGTTTGAGATTCCGAAAAGGTAGTTTTTTCCTCTTTAGTTCTCTCTTCCTTTTCGGTACTGAACATTTGAATTGAAGTACTGGATATTGTAGGCGATTGAGGTGCTGATTCCAATAATGTTATACTTGATTGTGTTTGAGATTCCGAAAATTTAGATTTTTTCTCTGTAGTTCTCTCTTCCTTTTCGGTACTGAACATTTGAACTGAAGTACTGGATATTGTAGGCGATTGAGGTGATGATTCCAATAACGTTGTACTTGATTGCGGTTGAGATTCCGAAAATGTAGACTTTTCCTCTGTAGTTCTCTCTTCCTTTTCGGTACTGGACATTTGAACTGAGGTACTGGATATTGTAGGCGATTGAGGAGATGATTCCAATAATTTTGTACTTGATTGTGTTTGAGATTCCAAAAATGTAGATTTTTCCTCTGTAGTTCTCTCTTCCTTTTCGGTACTGGACATTTTGACTGTAGTACTGGATATTGTAGGCGATTCAGGTGATGATTCCAATAATGTTGTACTTGATTGCGGTGGAGATTCCGAAAATGTAGATTTTTCCTCTGTAGTTCTCTCTTCATTTTCGGTACTGGACATTTGAACTGAAGTACTGGATATTGTAGGCGATTGAGGAGATGATTCCAATAATTTTGTACTTGATTGTGTTTGAGATTCCGAAAACGTAGATTTTTCTTCTGTAATTCTCTTTTCCTTTTCGGTACTGGACACTTGAACTGAAAAACTGGATATTTTAGGCGATTCAGCTGATGATTCCAATAGTGTTGTACTTGATTGCCGTGGAGATTCCGAAAATGTAGATTTTTCCTCTGTAGTTCTCTCTTCCTTTTCGGTACTGGACATTTGAACTGAGGTACTGGATATTGTAGGCGATTGAGGAGATGATTCCAATAATTTTGTACTTGATTGTGTTTGAGATTCCGAAAATGTAGATTTTTCCTCTGTAGTTCTCTCTTCCTTTTTGGTACTGGACATTTTGACTTTAGTACTGGATATTGTAGGCGATACAGGTGATGATTCCAATAATGTTGTACTTGATTGCGGTGGAGATTCCGAAAATGTAGATTTTTCCTCTGTAGTTCTCTCTTCCTTTTCGGTACTGGACATTTGAACTGAAGTACTGGATATTGTAGGCGATTGAGGAGATGATTCCAATAATTTTGTACTTGATTGTGTTTGAGATTCCGAAAACGTAGATTTTTCCTCTGTAGTTCTCTCTTCCTTTTCGGTACTGGAAATTTGGACTGAAGTACTGGATATTGTAGGCGATTGAGGTAATGATTCCAATAATGTTGTACTTGATTGCGGTTGCGATTCCGAAAATGTAGACTTTCCCTCTGGAGTTGTTGCGTATTTCTCTGTACTCGATGTTTGAAAATAACTACTGGATATTGTACTCAAATGAGGAAAAGACTTTAAAACAATTGTCCTTGATTGCGGTTGAGATTCCGAAAATGTAGATTTTTCCTCTGTAGTTCTCTCTTCCTTTTCGGTACTGGACATTGGAACTGAAGTACTGGATATTGTAGGCGATTGAGGTGATGATTCAGATAATGTTGTACTTGATTGCGGCTGAGATTCCGAAAATGTAGACTTTTCCTCTGGAGTTGTTTCGTATTTTTCTGTACTTGATGTTGGAAAATAACTACTGGATATTGTACTCAAGTAAGGAAAAGACTTTGAAACAGTTGTGCTTAATGGCAGTAGGGATTCCGAAAATGTAGATTTTTCCTCTGCAGTTCTCTCTTCCTTTTCGGTACTGGACATTTGAACTGAAGTACTGAATATTGTAGGCGGTTGAGGTGATGATTCAAATATTGTTGTACTTGATTGCGGTTGAGATTCCGAAATTGTAGACATTTCCTCTGGAGTTGTTTCGTATTTTTCTGTACTCGATGTTGGAAAATATCTACTGGATATTGTACTCAATTGAGGAAAAGACTTAAAAACAGTTGTACTTGATTGCGGTAGGGATACCGAAAATGTTGGTTTTCCCTCTGCAAATCTCTCTTCCTTTTCGGTACTGGACATTTGAAGTGAAGAACTGGATATTGTAGGCGATTGAGGTGATGATTCCAATAATGTTGTACTTAATTGCGGTTGAGATTCCGAAAATGTAGACTTTTGCTCTGGAGTTGTTTCGTATTTTTCTGTACTCGATGTTGGAAAATAACTACTGGATATTCCACTCAATTGAGGAGAAGACTTTGAAACAGTTGTGCTTGATTGTGGTAGGGATTCCGAAAATGTAGATTTTTCCTCTGCAGTTCTCTCTTCCTTTTCGGTACTGGACATTTGAACTGAAGTACTGGATATTGTAGGCGATTCAGGTGATGATTCCAATAATGTTGTACTTGACTGTGTTTGAGATTCCGAAAATGTAGATTTTTTCTCTGTAGTTTTCTCTTTCTTTTCGGTACTGGACATTTGGACTGAAGTACTGGATATTGTAGGCGATTGAGGTGATGATTCCAATAATGTTGTACTTGATTGCGGTTGAGATTCCGAAAATGTATACTTTTCCTCTGGAGTTGTTGCGAATTTTTCTGTACTCGTTGTTTGAAAATAACTACTGAATATTGTACTCAACTGAGGAAAAGACTTTGAAAAAGTTGTGCTTGTTCGCGGTAGGGATTCCGAAAATGTAGATTTTTCCTCAGCAGTTCTCTCTTCCTTTTCGGTACTGGACATTTGAACTGAAGTACTGGATATTGTAGGCGATTCAGGTGATGATTCCAATAATGTTGTACTTGACTGTGTTTGAGATTCCGAAAATGTAGATTTTTTCTCTGTAGTTTTCTCTTCCTTTTCGGTACTGGACATTTGGACTGAAGTACTGGATATTGTAGGCGATTGAGGTGATGATTCCAATAATGTTGTACTTGATTGCGGTTGAGATTCCGAAAATGTAGACTTTTCCTCTGGAGTTGTTGCGTATTTTTCTGTACTCGATGTTGGAAAATAACTACTGGATATTGTACTCAATTGAGGAAAAGACTTTGAAACAGTTGTGGCTGATTGCGGTACTGATTCCGAAAATGTAGATTTTTCCTCTGTAGTTCTCTCTTCCTTTTCGGTACTGGAAATTTTAAGTGAATTACTGGATATTGTAGGCGATTGAGGTGATGATTCCAATAATGTTGTACTTGATTGCGGTTGAGATTCCGAAAATATATATTTTTCCTCTGTAGTTCTCTCTTCTTTTTCGGTACTGGACATTTGGACTGAAGTACTGGATATTGTAGGCGATTGAGGTGATGATTCCAATAATGTTGTACTTGATTGCGGTTGAGATTCCAAAAATGTAGACTTTTCCTCTGGAGTTGTCGCGTATTTTTCTGTACTCGATGTTGGAAAATAACTACTGGATATTGTACTCAATTGAGGAAAAGATTTTGAAAAAGTTGTGCTTGTTCGCGGTAGGGATTCCGAAAATGTAGATTTTTCCTCTTCAGTTCGCTCTTCCTTTTCGGTGCTGGACATTTGAACTGAAGTACTGGATATTGTAGGCGATTGAGGTGATGATTCCAATAATGTTGTAATTAATTGCGGTTGAGATTCCGAAAATGTAGACTTTTCCTCTGGACTCGTTTCGTATTTTTCTATACTCGGTGTTTGAAAATAACTACTGGATATTGTACTCCATTGAGGAAAAGTCTTTGAAAAAGTTGTGCTTGTTCGCGGTAGGGATTCCGAAAATTTAGGTTTTTCCTCTGTAGTTCTCGCTTTCATTTCGGTACTAGAAATTTGAAGTGAAGTACTGGATATTGTAGGCGACTGAGGTGATGATTCCAATAATGTTGTACTTAATTGTGGTTGAGATTCCGAAAAGGAAGATTTTTCCTCTGTAGTTCTCTCTTCCTTTTCGGTACTGGACATTTGGACTGAAGTACTGGATATTGTCGGCGATTGGGTTGATGACTCCAATAATGTTGTACTTAATTGCGGTTGATATTCCGAAAATGAAGACTTTCGCTCTGTAGTTCTCTCTTCCTTTTCGGTACTGGACATTTGGACTGAAGTACTGGATATTGTAGGCGATTGAGGTGATGATTCCAATAATGTTGTACTTGATTGCGGTTGAGATTCCGAAATAGTAGACTTTTCCTCTGGAGTTGTCGCGTATTTTTCTGTACTCGATGTTTGAAAATAACTACAGAATATTGTACTCAATTGAGGAGAAGACTTTGAAAAAGTTGTGCTTGTTTGCGGAAGGGATTTCGAAAACGTTGGTTTTTCCTCTGTAGTCCTCTCTTCCTTTTCGGTACTGGACACTTGGACTGAAGTACTGGATATTGTAGGCGATTGAGGTGATGATTCCAATAATGTTGTACTTGATTGCGGTTGAGATTCCGAAAATTTAGACTTTTCCTCAGGAGTTGTTGCGTATTTTTCTGTACTCGATTTTGGAAAATAACTTCTGGATATTGTACTCAATTGAGGAAAAGACTTTGAAAATGTTGTGCTTGTTCGTGGTAGGGATTCCGAAAATGTAGATTTTGCCTCAGCAGTTCTCTCTTCCTTTTCGGTACTGGACATTTTGACTGAAGTACTGGATATTGTAGGCGATTGAGGTGATGATTCCAATAATGTTGTACTTGATTGTGGTTGAGATTCCGAAAATGTAGATTTTTCCTCTGTAGTTCTCTCTTCCTTTTTGGTACTGGACATTTGAACTGAAGTACTGGATATTGTAGACAATTGAGGTGATGATTCCAATAATTTTGTACTTGATTGTGTTTGAGATTCCGAAAATGTAAATTTTTCCTCTGTAGTTCTCTCTTCCTTTTCGGTACTGAACATTTTGACTGATGTACTGGATATTGTAGGCGATTGAGGTGATGATTCCAATAATGTTGTACTTGATTGCGGTTGAGATTCCGAAAATGTAGACTTTTCCTCTGGACTCGTTTCGTGTTTTTCTATACTCGGTGTTTGAAAATAACTACTGGATATTGTACTCAATTGAGGAAAAGTCTTTGAAAAAATTGTGCTTGTTCGCGGTAGGGATTCCGAAAATTTAGGTTTTTCCTCTGTAGTTCTCGCTTTCATTTCGGTATTAGAAATTTGTAGTGAAGTACTGGATATTGTAGGCGACTGAGGTGATGATTCCAATAATGTTGTACTTAATTGTGGTTGAGATTCCGAAAAGGAAGATTTTTCCTCTGTAGTTCTCTCTTCCTTTTCGGTACTGGACATTTGGACTGAAGTACTGGATATTGTCGGCGATTGGGTTGATGACTCCAATAATGTTGTACTTAATTGCGGTTGATATTCCGAAAATGAAGACTTTCGCTCTGTAGTTCTCTCTTCCTTTTCGGTACTGGACATTTGGACTGAAGTACTGGATATTGTAGGCGATTGAGGTGATGATTCCAATAATGTTGTACTTGATTGCGGTTGAGATTCCGAAAATGTAGACTTTTCCTCTGGAGTTGTCGCGTATTTTTCTGTACTCGATGTTTGAAAATAACTACTGGATATTGTACACAATTGAGGAGAAGACTTTAAAAAAGTTGTGCTTCTTTGCGGAAGGGATTCCGAAAACGTTGGTTTTTCCTCTGTAGTTCTCTCTTCCTTTTCGGTACTGGAAATTTGAAGCGAAGTACTGGATATTGTAGGCGATTGAGGTGATGATTCCAATAATGTCGTACTTGATTGTGGTTGAGATTCCGAAAATGTATATTTTTCCTCTGTAGTTCTCTCTTCCTTTTCGGTACTGGACATTTGGACTGAAGTACTGGATATTGTAGGCGATTGAGGTGATGATTCCAATAATGTTGTACTTGATTGCGGTTGAGATTCCGAAAATGTATATTTTTCCTCTGTAGTTCTCTCTTCCTTTTCGGTACTGGACATTTGGACTGAAGTACTGGATATTGTAGGCGATTGAGGTGATGATTCCAATAATGTTGTACTTGATTGCGGTTGAGATTCCGAAAATGTAGACTTTTCCTCTGGAGTTGTTGCGTATTTTTCTGTACTCGATTTTGGAAAATAACTTCTGGATATTGTACTCAATTGAGGAAAAGACTTTGAAAATGTTGTGCTTGTTCGTGGTAGGGATTCCGAAAATGTAGATTTTGCCTCAGCAGTTCTCTCTTCCTTTTCGGTACTGGACATTTTGACTGAAGTACTGGATATTGTAGGCGATTGAGGTGATGATTCCAATAATGTTGTACTTGATTGTGGTTGAGATTCCGAAAATGTAGATTTTTCCTCTGTAGTTCTCTCTTCCTTTTTGGTACTGGACATTTGAACTGAAGTACTGGATATTGTAGACAATTGAGGTGATGATTCCAATAATTTTGTACTTGATTGTGTTTGAGATTCCGAAAATGTAAATTTTTCCTCTGTAGTTCTCTCTTCCTTTTCGGTACTGAACATTTTGACTGATGTACTGGATATTGTAGGCGATTGAGGTGATGATTCCAATAATGTTGTACTTGATTGCGGTTGAGATTCCGAAAATGTAGACTTTTCCTCTGGACTCGTTTCGTGTTTTTCTATACTCGGTGTTTGAAAATAACTACTGGATATTGTACTCAATTGAGGAAAAGTCTTTGAAAAAATTGTGCTTGTTCGCGGTAGGGATTCCGAAAATTTAGGTTTTTCCTCTGTAGTTCTCGCTTTCATTTCGGTACTAGAAATTTGTAGTGAAGTACTGGATATTGTAGGCGACTGAGGTGATGATTCCAATAATGTTGTACTTAATTGTGGTTGAGATTCCGAAAAGGAAGATTTTTCCTCTGTAGTTCTCTCATCCTTTTCGGTACTGGACATTTGGACTGAAGTACTGGATATTGTCGGCGATTGGGTTGATGACTCCAATAATGTTGTACTTAATTGCGGTTGATATTCCGAAAATGAAGACTTTCGCTCTGTAGTTCTCTCTTCCTTTTCGGTACTGGACATTTGGACTGAAGTACTGGATATTGTAGGCGATTGAGGTGATGATTCCAATAATGTTGTACTTGATTGCGGTTGAGATTCCGAAAATGTAGACTTTTCCTCTGGAGTTGTCGCGTATTTTTCTGTACTCGATGTTTGAAAATAACTACTGGATATTGTACACAATTGAGGAGAAGACTTTAAAAAAGTTGTGCTTCTTTGCGGAAGGGATTCCGAAAACGTTGGTTTTTCCTCTGTAGTTCTCTCTTCCTTTTCGGTACTGGAAATTTGAAGCGAAGTACTGGATATTGTAGGCGATTGAGGTGATGATTCCAATAATGTCGTACTTGATTGTGGTTGAGATTCCGAAAATGTATATTTTTCCTCTGTAGTTCTCTCTTCCTTTTCGGTACTGGACATTTGGACTGAAGTACTGGATATTGTAGGCGATTGAGGTGATGATTCCAATAATGTTGTACTTGATTGCGGTTGAGATTCCGAAAATGTATATTTTTCCTCTGTAGTTCTCTCTTCCTTTTCGGTACTGGACATTTGGACTGAAGTACTGGATATTGTAGGCGATTGAGGTGATGATTCCAATAATGTTGTACTTGATTGCGGTTGAGATTCCGAAAATGTAGACTTTTCCTCTGGAGTTGTTGCGTATTTTTCTGTACTCGATTTTGGAAAATAACTACTGGATATTGTACTTAATTGAGGAAAAGACTTTGAAAATGTTGTGCTTGTTCGCGGTAGGGATTCCGAAAATGTAGATTTTTCCTCAGCAGTTCTCTCTTCCTTTTCGGTACTGGACATTTTGACTGAAGTACTGGATTTTGTAGGCGATTGAGGTGATGATTCCAATAATGTTGTACTTGATTGTGGTTGAGATTCCGAAAATGTAGATTTTTCCTCTGTAGTTCTCTCTTCCTTTTTGGTACTGGACATTTGAACTGAAGTACTGGATATTGTAGACAATTGAGGTGATGATTCCAATAATTTTGTACTTGATTGCGGCTGAGATTCCGAAAATGTAGACTTTTCCTCTGGAGTTGTTGCGTATTTTTCTGTACTCGATGTTTGAAAATAACTACTGAATATTGTACTCAACTGAGGAAAAGACTTTGAAAAAGTTGTGCTTGTTCGCGGTAGGGATTCCGAAAATGTAGATTTTTCCTCAGCAGTTCTCTCTTCCTTTTCGGTACTGGACATTTGAACTGAAGTACTGGATATTGTAGGCGATTCAGGTGATGATTCCAATAATTTTGTACTTGATTGTGTTTGAGATTCCGAAAATGTAAATTTTTCCTCTGTAGTTCTCTCTTCCTTTTCGGTACTGGACATTTGGACTGAAGTACTGGATATTGTAGGCGATTGAGGTGATGATTCCAATAATGTTGTACTTGATTGCGGTTGAGATTCCGAAAATGTAGACTTTTCCTCTGGAGTTGTCGCGTATTTTTCTGTACTCGATGTTTGAAAATAACTACTGGATATTGTACTCAATTGAGGAGAAGACTTTAAAAAAGTTGTGCTTGTTTGCGGAAGGGATTTCGAAAACGTTGGTTTTTCCTCTGTAGTTCTCTCTTCCTTTTCGGTACTGGAAATTTGAAGCGAAGTACTGGATATTGTAGGCGATTGAGGTGATGATTCCAATAATGTCGTACTTGATTGTGGTTCAGATTCCGAAAATGTATATTTTTCCTCTGTAGTTCTCTCTTCCTTTTCGGTACTGGACATTTGGACTGAAGTACTGGATATTGTAGGCGATTGAGGTGATGATTCCAATAATGTTGTACTTGATTGCGGTTGAGATTCCGAAAATGTATATTTTTCCTCTGTAGTTCTCTCTTCCTTTTCGGTACTGGACATTTGGACTGAAGTACTGGATATTGTAGGCGATTGAGGTGATGATTCCAATAATGTTGTACTTGATTGCGGTTGAGATTCCGAAAATGTAGACTTTTCCTCTGGAGTTGTTGCGTATTTTTCTGTACTCGATTTTGGAAAATAACTACTGGATATTGTACTTAATTGAGGAAAAGACTTTGAAAATGTTGTGCTTGTTCGCGGTAGGGATTCCGAAAATGTAGATTTTTCCTCAGCAGTTCTCTCTTCCTTTTCGGTACTGGACATTTTGACTGAAGTACTGGTTTTTGTAGGCGATTGAGGTGATGATTCCAATAATGTTGTACTTGATTGCGGTTGAGATTCCGAAAATGTAGACTTTTCCTCTGGAGTTGTCGCGTATTTTTCTGTACTCGATGTTTGAAAATAACTACTGGATATTGTACTCAATTGAGGAGAAGACTTTAAAAAAGTTGTGCTTGTTTGCGGAAGGGATTTCGAAAACGTCGGTTTTTCCTCTGTAGTTCTCTCTTCCTTTTCGGTACTGGAAATTTGAAGCGAAGTACTGGATATTGTAGGCGATTGAGGTGATGATTCCAATAATGTCGTACTTGATTGTGGTTGAGATTCCGAAAATGTAGATTTTTCCTCTGTAGTTCTCTCTTCCTTTTTGGTACTGGACATTTGAACTGAAGTACTGGATATTGTAGACAATTGAGGTGATGATTCCAATAATTTTGTACTTGATTGTGTTTGAGATTCCGAAAATGTAAATTTTTCCTCTGTAGTTCTCTCTTCCTTTTCGGTACTGGACATTTTGACTGAAGTACTGGATATTGTAGGCGATTGAGGTGATGATTCCAATAATGTTGTACTTGATTGCGGTTGAGATTCCGAAAATGTAGACTTTTCCTCTGGAGTTGTTGCGTATTTTTCTGTACTCGATGTTTGAAAATAACTACTGGATATTGTACTCAATTGAGGAAAAGACTTTGAAAAAGTTGTGCTTCTTTGCGGTAGGGATTCCGAAAATGTTGGTTTCTCCTCTGTGGTTCTCTCTTCCTTTTCGGTACTGGACTTTTGAAGTGAAGTACTGTATATTGTAGGCGATTGAGGTGATGATTCCAATAATGTTGTACTTAATTGCGGTTGAGATTCCGAAAATGTAGACTTTTCCTCTGGACTCGTTTCGTATTTTTCTATACTCGGTGTTTGAAAATAACTACTGGATATTGTACTCAATTGAGGAAAAGTCTTTGAAAAAGTTGTGCTTGTTCGCGGTAGGGATTCCGAAAATTTAGGTTTTTCCTCTGTAGTTCTCGCTTTCATTTCGGTACTAGAAATTTGAAGTGAAGTACTGGATATTGTAGGCGACTGAGGTGATGATTCCAATAATGTTGTACTTAATTGTGGTTGAGATTCCGAAAAGGAAGATTTTTCCTCTGTAGTTCTCTCTTCCTTTTCGGTACTGGACATTTGGACTGAAGTACTGGATATTGTCAGCGATTGGGTTGATGACTCCAATAATGTTGTACTTAATTGCGGTTGATATTCCGAAAATGAAGACTTTCGCTCTGTAGTTCTCTCTTCCTTTTCGGTACTGGACATTTGGACTGAAGTACTGGATATTGTAGGCGATTGAGGAGATGATGACGAAAATGTAGACTTTTCCTCAGGAGTTGTTGCGTATTTTTCTGTACTCGATTTTGGAAAATAACTTCTGGATATTGTACTCAATTGAGGAAAAGACTTTGAAAATGTTGTGCTTGTTCGCGGTAGGGATTCCGAAAATGTAGATTTTTCCTCAGCAGTTCTCTCTTCCTTTTCGGTACTGGACATTTTGACTGAAGTACTGGATATTGTAGGCGATTGAGGTGATGATTCCAATAATGTTGTACTTGATTGCGGTTGAGATTCCGAAAATGTATATTTTTCCTCTGTAGTCCTCTCTTCTTTTTCGGTACTGGTCATTTGGACTGAAGTACTGGATATTGTAGGCGATTGAGGAGATGATGACGAAAATGTAGACTTTTCGTCAGGAGTTGTTGCGTATTTTTCTGTACTCGATTTTGGAAAATAACTTCTGGATATTGTACTCAATTGAGGAAAAGACTTTGAAAATGTTGTGCTTGTTCGCGGTAGGGATTCCGAAAATGTAGATTTTTCCTCAGCAGTTCTCTCTTCCTTTTCGGTACTGGACATTTTGACTGAAGTACTGGATATTGTAGGCGATTGAGGTGATGATTCCAATAATGTTGTACTTGATTGTGGTTGAGATCCCGAAAATGTAGATTTTTCCTCTGTAGTTCTCTCTTCCTTTTTGGTACTGGACATTTGAACTGAAGTACTGGATATTGTAGACAATTGAGGTGATGATTCCAATAATTTTGTACTTGATTGTGTTTGAGATTCCGAAAATGTAAATTTTTCCTCTGTAGTTCTCTCTTCCTTTTCGGTACTGAACATTTTGACTGAAGTACTGGATATTGTAGGCGATTGAGGTGATGATTCCAATAATGTTGTACTTGATTGCGGTTGAGATTCCGAAAATGTAGACTTTTCCTCTGGACTCGTTTCGTATTTTTCTATACTCGGTGTTTGAAAATAACTACTGGATATTGTACTCAATTGAGGAAAAGACTTTGAAAAAGTTGTGCTTCTTTGCGGTAGGGATTCCGAAAATGTTGGTTTCTCCTCTGTAGTTCTCGCTTTCATTTCGGTACTAGAAATTTGAAGTGAAGTACTGTATATTGTAGGCGATTGAGGTGATGATTCCAATAATGTTGTACTTAATTGCGGTTCAGATTCCGAAAATGTAGACTTTTCTTCTGGACTCGTTTCGTATTTTTCTATACTCGGTGATTGAAAATAACTACTGGATATTGTACTCAATTGAGGAAAAGTCTTTGAAAAAGTTGTGCTTGTTCGCGGTAGGGATTCCGAAAATTTAGGTTTTTCCTCTGTAGTTCTCGCTTTCATTTCGGTACTAGAAATTTGAAGTGAAGTACTGGATATTGTAGGCGACTGAGGTGATGATTCCAATAATGTTGTACTTAATTGTGGTTGAGATTCCGAAAAGGAAGATATTTCCTCTGTAGTTCTCTCTTCCTTTTCGGTACTGGACATTTGGACTGAAGTACTGGATATTGTCGGCGATTGGGTTGATGACTCCAATAATGTTGTACTTAATTGCGGTTGATATTCCGAAAATGAAGACTTTCGCTCTGTAGTTCTCTCTTCCTTTTCGGTACTGGACATTTGGACTGAAGTACTGGATATTGTAGGCGATTGAGGTGATGATTCCAATAATGTTGTACTTGATTGCGGTTGAGATTCCGAAAATGTAGACTTTTCCTCAGGAGTTGTTGCGTATTTTTCTGTACTCGATTTTGGAAAATAGCTTCTGGATATTGTACTCAATTGAGGAAAAGACTTTGAAAATGTTGTGCTTGTTCGCGGTAGGGATTCCGAAAATGTAGATTTTTCCTCAGCAGTTCTCTCTTCCTTTTCGGTACTGGACATTTTGACTGAAGTACTGGATATTGTAGGCGATTGAGGTGATGATTCCAATAATGTTGTACTTGATTGTGGTTGAGATTCCGAAAATGTAGATTTTTCCTCTGTAGTTCTCTCTTCCTTTTTGGTACTGGACATTTGAACTGAAGTATTGGATATTGTAGACAATTGAGGTGATGATTCCAATAATGTTGTACTTGATTGCGGTTGAGATTCCGAAAATGTATATTTTTCCTCTGTAGTTCTCTCTTCCTTTTCGGTACTGGACATTTGGACTGAAGTACTGGATATTGTAGACAATTGAGGTGATGATTCCAATAATTTTGTACTTGATTGTGTTTGAGATTCCGAAAATGTAAATTTTTCCTCTGTAGTTCTCTCTTCCTTTTCGTTACTGGACATTTTGACTGAAGTACTGGATATTGTAGGCGATTGAGGTGATGATTCCAATAATGTTGTACTTGATTGCGGTTGAGATTCCGAAAATGTAGACATTTCCTCTGGAGTTGTTGCGTATTTTTCTGTACTCGCTTTTGGAAAATAACTACTGGATATTGTACTTAATTGAGGAAAAGACTTTGAAAATGTTGTGCTTGTTCGCGGTAGGGATTCCGAAAATGTAGATTTTTCCTCAGCAGTTCTCTCTTCCTTTTCGGTACTGGACATTTTGACTGAAGTACTGGATATTCTAGGCGATTGAGGTGATGATTCCAATAATGTTGTACTTGATTGTGGTTGAGATTCCGAAAATGTAGATTTTTCCTCTGTAGTTCTCTCTTCCTTTTTGGTACTGGACATTTGAACTGAAGTACTGGATATTGTAGACAATTGAGGTGATGATTCCAATAATTTTGTACTTGATTGTGTTTGAGATTCCGAAAATGTAAATTTTTCCTCTGTAGTTCTCTCTTCCTTTTCGGTACTGGACATTTTGACTGAAGTACTGGATATTGTAGGCGATTGAGGTGATGATTCCAATAATGTTGTACTTGATTGCGGTTGAGATTCCGAAAATGTAGACTTTTCCTCTGGAGTTGTTGCGTATTTTTCTGTACTCGATGTTTGAAAATAACTACTGGATATTGTACTCAATTGAGGAAAAGACTTTGAAAAAGTTGTGCTTCTTTGCGGTAGGGATTCCGAAAATGTTGGTTTCTCCTCTGTAGTTCTCTCTTCCTTTTCGGTACTGGACTTTTGAAGTGAAGTACTGTATATTGTAGGCGATTGAGGTGATGATTCCAATAATGTTGTACTTAATTGCGGTTCAGATTCCGAAAATGTAGACTTTTCTTCTGGACTCGTTTCGTATTTTTCTATACTCGGTGATTGAAAATAACTACTGGATATTGTACTCAATTGAGGAAAAGTCTTTGAAAAAGTTGTGCTTGTTCGCGGTAGGGATTCCGAAAATTTAGGTTTTTCCTCTGTAGTTCTCGCTTTCATTTCGGTACTAGAAATTTGAAGTGAAGTACTGGATATTGTAGGCGACTGAGGTGATGATTCCAATAATGTTGTACTTAATTGTGGTTGAGATTCCGAAAAGGAAGATATTTCCTCTGTAGTTCTCTCTTCCTTTTCGGTACTGGACATTTGGACTGAAGTACTGGATATTGTCGGCGATTGGGTTGATGACTCCAATAATGTTGTACTTAATTGCGGTTGATATTCCGAAAATGAAGACTTTCGCTCTGTAGTTCTCTCTTCCTTTTCGGTACTGGACATTTGGACTGAAGTACTGGATATTGTAGGCGATTGAGGTGATGATTCCAATAATGTTGTACTTGATTGCGGTTGAGATTCCGAAAATGTAGACTTTTCCTCAGGAGTTGTTGCGTATTTTTCTGTACTCGATTTTGGAAAATAGCTTCTGGATATTGTACTCAATTGAGGAAAAGACTTTGAAAATGTTGTGCTTGTTCGCGGTAGGGATTCCGAAAATGTAGATTTTTCCTCAGCAGTTCTCTCTTCCTTTTCGGTACTGGACATTTTGACTGAAGTACTGGATATTGTAGGCGATTGAGGTGATGATTCCAATAATGTTGTACTTGATTGTGGTAGAGATTCCGAAAATGTAGATTTTTCCTCTGTAGTTCTCTCTTCCTTTTTGGTACTGGACATTTGAACTGAAGTATTGGATATTGTAGACAATTGAGGTGATGATTCCAATAATGTTGTACTTGATTGCGGTTGAGATTCCGAAAATGTATATTTTTCCTCTGTAGTTCTCTCTTCCTTTTCGGTACTGGACATTTGGACTGAAGTACAGGATATTGTAGGCGATTGAGGTGATGATTCCAATAATGTTGTACTTGATTGCGGTTGAGATTCCGAAAATGTAGACTTTTCCTCTGGAGTTGTTGCGTATTTTTCTGTACTCGAATTTGGAAAATAACTACTGGATATTGTACTTAATTGAGGAAAAGACTTTGAAAATGTTGTGCTTGTTCGCGGTAGGGATTCCGAAAATGTAGATTTTTCCTCAGCAGTTCTCTCTTCCTTTTCGGTACTGGACATTTTGACTGAAGTACTGGATTTTGTAGGCGATTGAGGTGATGATTCCAATAATGTTGTACTTGATTGTGGTTGAGATTCCGAAAATGTAGATTTTTCCTCTGTAGTTCTCTCTTCCTTTTCGGTACTGAACATTTTGACTGAAGTACTGGATATTGTAGGCGATTGAGGTGATGATTCCAATAATGTTGTACTTGATTGCGGTTGAGATTCCGAAAATGTAGACTTTTCCTCTGGACTCGTTTCGTATTTTTCTATACTCGGTGTTTGAAAATAACTACTGGATATTGTACTCAATTGAGGAAAAGTCTTTGAAAAAGTTGTGCTTGTTCGCGGTAGGGATTCCGAAAATTTAGGTTTTTTCTCTGTAGTTCTCGCTTTCATTTCGGTACTAGAAATTTGAAGTGAAGTACTGGATATTGTAGGCGACTGAGGTGATGATTCCAATAATGTTGTACTTAATTGTGGTTGAGATTCCGAAAAGGAAGATTTTTCCTCTATAGTTCTCTCTTCCTTTTCGGTACTGGACATTTGGACTGAAGTACTGGATATTGTCGGCGATTGGGTTGATGACTCCAATAATGTAGTACTTAATTGCGGTTGATATTCCGAAAATGAAGACTTTCGTTCTGTAGTTCTCTCTTCCTTTTCGGTACTGGACATTTTGACTGAAGTACTGGATATTGTAGACAATTGAGGTGATGATTCCAATAATTTTGTACTTGATAGTGTTTGAGATTCCGAAAATGTAAATTTTTCCTCTGTAGTTTTCTCTTCCTTTTCGGTACTGAACATTTTGACTGAAGTACTGGATATTGTAGGCGATTGAGGTGATGATTCCAATAATGTTGTACTTGATTGCGGTTGAGATTCCGAAAATGAAGACTTTCGCTCTGTAGTTCTCTCTTCCTTTTCGGTACTGGACATTTGGACTGAAGTACTGGATATTGTAGGCGATTGAGGTGATGATTCCAATAATGTTGTACTTGATTGCGGTTGAGATTCCGAAAATGTAGACTTTTCCTCTGGAGTTGTCGCGTATTTTTCTGTACTCGATGTTTGAAAATAACTACTGGATATTGTACTCAATTGAGGAGAAGACTTTAAAAAAGTTGTGCTTGTTTGCGGAAGGGATTCCGAAAACGTTGGTTTTTCCTCTGTAGTTCTCTCTTCCTTTTCGGTACTGGAAATTTGAAGCGAAGTACTGGATATTGTAGGCGATTGAGGTGATGATTCCAATAATGTCGTACTTGATTGTGGTTGAGATTCCGAAAATGTATATTTTTCCTCTGTAATTCTCTCTTTCTTTTCGGTACTGGACATTTGGACTGAAGTACTGGATATTGTAGGCGATTGAGGTGATGATTCCAATAATGTTGTACTTGATTGCGGTTGAGATTCCGAAAATGTATATTTTTCCTCTGTAGTTCTCTCTTCCTTTTCGGTACTGGACATTTGGACTGAAGTACTGGATATTGTAGGCGATTGAGGTGATGATTCCAATAATGTTGTACTTGATTGCGGTTGAGATTCCGAAAATGTAGACTTTTCCTCAGGAGTTGTTGCGTATTTTTCTGTACTCGATTTTGGAAAATAACTTCTGGATATTGTACTCAATTGAGGAAAAGACTTTGAAAATGTTGTGCTTGTTCGCGGTAGGGATTCCGAAAATGTAGATTTTTCCTCAGCAGTTCTCTCTTCCTTTTCGGTACTGGACATTTTTACTGAAGTACTGGATATTGTAGGCGATTGAGGTGATGATTCCAATAATGTTGTACTTGATTGTGGTTGAGATTCCGAAAATGTAGATTTTTCCTCTGTAGTTCTCTCTTCCTTTTTGGTACAGGACATTTGAACTGAAGTACTGGATATTGTAGACAATTGAGGTGATGATTCCAATAATTTTGTACTTGATTGTGTTTGAGATTCCGAAAATGTAAATTTTTCCTCTGTAGTTTTCTCTTCCTTTTCGGTACTGGACATTTTGACTGAAGTACTGGATATTGTAGGCGATTGAGGTGATGATTCCAATAATGTTGTACTTGATTGTGGTTGAGATTCCGAAAATGTAGATTTTTCCTCTGTAGTTCTCTCTTCCTTTTCGGTACTGAACATTTTGACTGAAGTACTGGATATTGTAGGCGATTGAGGTGATGATTCCAATAATGTTGTACTTGATTGCGGTTGAGATTCCGAAAATGTAGACTTTTCCTCTGGACTCGTTTCGTATTTTTCTATACTCGGTGTTTGAAAATAACTACTGGATATTGTACTCAATTGAGGAAAAGTCTTTGAAAAAGTTGTGCTTGTTCGCGGTAGGGATTCCGAAAATTTAGGTTTTTCCTCTGTAGTTCTCGCTTTCATTTCGGTACTAGAAATTTGAAGTGAAGTACTGGATATTGTAGGCGACTGAGGTGATGATTCCAATAATGTTGTACTTAATTGTGGTTGAGATTCCGAAAAGGAAGATTTTTCCTCTATAGTTCTCTCTTCCTTTTCGGTACTGGACATTTGGACTGAAGTACTGGATATTGTCGGCGATTGGGTTGATGACTCCAATAATGTAGTACTTAATTGCGGTTGATATTCCGAAAATGAAGACTTTCGTTCTGTAGTTCTCTCTTCCTTTTCGGTACTGGACATTTTGACTGAAGTACTGGATATTGTAGACAATTGAGGTGATGATTCCAATAATTTTGTACTTGATAGTGTTTGAGATTCCGAAAATGTAAATTTTTCCTCTGTAGTTTTCTCTTCCTTTTCGGTACTGAACATTTTGACTGAAGTACTGGATATTGTAGGCGATTGAGGTGATGATTCCAATAATGTTGTACTTGATTGCGGTTGAGATTCCGAAAATGAAGACTTTCGCTCTGTAGTTCTCTCTTCCTTTTCGGTACTGGACATTTGGACTGAAGTACTGGATATTGTAGGCGATTGAGGTGATGATTCCAATAATGTTGTACTTGATTGCGGTTGAGATTCCGAAAATGTAGACTTTTCCTCTGGAGTTGTCGCGTATTTTTCTGTACTCGATGTTTGAAAATAACTACTGGATATTGTACTCAATTGAGGAGAAGACTTTAAAAAAGTTGTGCTTGTTTGCGGAAGGGATTCCGAAAACGTTGGTTTTTCCTCTGTAGTTCTCTCTTCCTTTTCGGTACTGGAAATTTGAAGCGAAGTACTGGATATTGTAGGCGATTGAGGTGATGATTCCAATAATGTCGTACTTGATTGTGGTTGAGATTCCGAAAATGTATATTTTTCTTCTGTAATTCTCTCTTTCTTTTCGGTACTGGACATTTGGACTGAAGTACTGGATATTGTAGGCGATTGAGGTGATGATTCCAATAATGTTGTACTTGATTGCGGTTGAGATTCCGAAAATGTATATTTTTCCTCTGTAGTTCTCTCTTCCTTTTCGGTACTGGACATTTGGACTGAAGTACTGGATATTGTAGGCGATTGAGGTGATGATTCCAATAATGTTGTACTTGATTGCGGTTGAGATTCCGAAAATGTAGACTTTTCCTCAGGAGTTGTTGCGTATTTTTCTGTACTCGATTTTGGAAAATAACTTCTGGATATTGTACTCAATTGAGGAAAAGACTTTGAAAATGTTGTGCTTGTTCGCGGTAGGGATTCCGAAAATGTAGATTTTTCCTCAGCAGTTCTCTCTTCCTTTTCGGTACTGGACATTTTTACTGAAGTACTGGATATTGTAGGCGATTGAGGTGATGATTCCAATAATGTTGTACTTGATTGTGGTTGAGATTCCGAAAATGTAGATTTTTCCTCTGTAGTTCTCTCTTCCTTTTTGGTACAGGACATTTGAACTGAAGTACTGGATATTGTAGACAATTGAGGTGATGATTCCAATAATTTTGTACTTGATTGTGTTTGAGATTCCGAAAATGTAAATTTTTCCTCTGTAGTTTTCTCTTCCTTTTCGGTACTGGACATTTTGACTGAAGTACTGGATATTGTAGGCGATTGAGGTGATGATTCCAATAATTTTGTACTTGATTGTGTTTGAGATTCCGAAAATGTAGATTTTTCCTGTGCAGTTCTCTCTTCCTTTTCGGTACTGGACATTTGAACTGAAGTACTGGATATTGTAGGCGATTGAGGTGATGATTCCAATAATGTTGTACTTAATTGCGGTTGAAATTCCGAAAATGTAGACTTTTCCTCTGGACTCGTTTCGTATTTTTCTATACTCGGTGTTTGAAAATAACTACTGGATATTGTACTCAATTGAGGAAAAGTCTTTGAAAAAGTTGTGCTTGTTCGCGGTAGGGATTCCGAAAATGTGGGTTTTTCCTCTGTAGTTCTCGCTTTCATTTCGGTACTAGAAATTTGAAGTGAAGTACTGGATATTGTAGGCGACTGAGGTGATGATTCCAATAATGTCGTACTTAATTGTGGTTGAGATTCCGAAAAGGAAGATATTTCCTCTGTAGTTCTCTCTTCCTTTTCGGTACTGGACATTTGGACTGAAGTACTGGATATTGTCGGCGATTGAGGTGATGATTCCAATAATGTTGTACTTGATTGTGGTTGAGATTCCGAAAATGTAGATTTTTCCTCTGTAGTTCTCTCTTCCTTTTCGGTACTGAACATTTTGACTGAAGTACTGGATATTGTAGGCGATTGAGGTGATGATTCCAATAATGTTGTACTTGATTGCGGTTGAGATTCCGAAAATGTAGACTTTTCCTCTGGACTCGTTTCGTATTTTTCTATACTCGGTGTTTGAAAATAACTACTGGATATTGTACTCAATTGAGGAAAAGTCTTTGAAAAAGTTGTGCTTGTTCGCGGTAGGGATTCCGAAAATTTAGGTTTTTCCTCTGTAGTTCTCGCTTTCATTTCGGTACTAGAAATTTGAAGTGAAGTACTGGATATTGTAGGCGACTGAGGTGATGATTCCAATAATGTTGTACTTAATTGTGGTTGAGATTCCGAAAAGGAAGATTTTTCCTCTATAGTTCTCTCTTCCTTTTCGGTACTGGACATTTGGACTGAAGTACTGGATATTGTCGGCGATTGGGTTGATGACTCCAATAATGTAGTACTTAATTGCGGTTGATATTCCGAAAATGAAGACTTTCGTTCTGTAGTTCTCTCTTCCTTTTCGGTACTGGACATTTTGACTGAAGTACTGGATATTGTAGACAATTGAGGTGATGATTCCAATAATTTTGTACTTGATAGTGTTTGAGATTCCGAAAATGTAAATTTTTCCTCTGTAGTTTTCTCTTCCTTTTCGGTACTGAACATTTTGACTGAAGTACTGGATATTGTAGGCGATTGAGGTGATGATTCCAATAATGTTGTACTTGATTGCGGTTGAGATTCCGAAAATGAAGACTTTCGCTCTGTAGTTCTCTCTTCCTTTTCGGTACTGGACATTTGGACTGAAGTACTGGATATTGTAGGCGATTGAGGTGATGATTCCAATAATGTTGTACTTGATTGCGGTTGAGATTCCGAAAATGTAGACTTTTCCTCTGGAGTTGTCGCGTATTTTTCTGTACTCGATGTTTGAAAATAACTACTGGATATTGTACTCAATTGAGGAGAAGACTTTAAAAAAGTTGTGCTTGTTTGCGGAAGGGATTCCGAAAACGTTGGTTTTTCCTCTGTAGTTCTCTCTTCCTTTTCGGTACTGGAAATTTGAAGCGAAGTACTGGATATTGTAGGCGATTGAGGTGATGATTCCAATAATGTCGTACTTGATTGTGGTTGAGATTCCGAAAATGTATATTTTTCCTCTGTAATTCTCTCTTTCTTTTCGGTACTGGACATTTGGACTGAAGTACTGGATATTGTAGGCGATTGAGGTGATGATTCCAATAATGTTGTACTTGATTGCGGTTGAGATTCCGAAAATGTATATTTTTCCTCTGTAGTTCTCTCTTCCTTTTCGGTACTGGACATTTGGACTGAAGTACTGGATATTGTAGGCGATTGAGGTGATGATTCCAATAATGTTGTACTTGATTGCGGTTGAGATTCCGAAAATGTAGACTTTTCCTCAGGAGTTGTTGCGTATTTTTCTGTACTCGATTTTGGAAAATAACTTCTGGATATTGTACTCAATTGAGGAAAAGACTTTGAAAATGTTGTGCTTGTTCGCGGTAGGGATTCCGAAAATGTAGATTTTTCCTCAGCAGTTCTCTTTTCCTTTTCGGTACTGGACATTTTTACTGAAGTACTGGATATTGTAGGCGATTGAGGTGATGATTCCAATAATGTTGTACTTGATTGTGGTTGAGATTCCGAAAATGTAGATTTTTCCTCTGTAGTTCTCTCTTCCTTTTTGGTACAGGACATTTGAACTGAAGTACTGGATATTGTAGACAATTGAGGTGATGATTCCAATAATTTTGTACTTGATTGTGTTTGAGATTCCGAAAATGTAAATTTTTCCTCTGTAGTTTTCTCTTCCTTTTCGGTACTGGACATTTTGACTGAAGTACTGGATATTGTAGGCGATTGAGGTGATGATTCCAATAATTTTGTACTTGATTGTGTTTGAGATTCCGAAAATGTAGATTTTTCCTGTGCAGTTCTCTCTTCCTTTTCGGTACTGGACATTTGAACTGAAGTACTGGATATTGTAGGCGATTGAGGTGATGATTCCAATAATGTTGTACTTAATTGCGGTTGAAATTCCGAAAATGTAGACTTTTCCTCTGGACTCGTTTCGTATTTTTCTATACTCGGTGTTTGAAAATAACTACTGGATATTGTACTCAATTGAGGAAAAGTCTTTGAAAAAGTTGTGCTTGTTCGCGGTAGGGATTCCGAAAATGTGGGTTTTTCCTCTGTAGTTCTCGCTTTCATTTCGGTACTAGAAATTTGAAGTGAAGTACTGGATATTGTAGGCGACTGAGGTGATGATTCCAATAATGTTGTACTTAATTGTGGTTGAGATTCCGAAAAGGAAGATATTTCCTCTGTAGTTCTCTCTTCCTTTTCGGTACTGGACATTTGGACTGAAGTACTGGATATTGTCGGCGATTGAGGTGATGATTCCAATAATGTTGTACTTGATTGCGGTTGAGATTCCGAAAATGTATATTTTTCCTCTGTAGTTCTCTCTTCCTTTTCGGCACTGGACATTTGGACTGAAGTACTGGATATTGTAGGCGATTGAGGTGATGATTCCAATAATGTTGTACTTGATTGCGGTTGAGATTCCGAAAATGTATATTTTTCCTCTGTAGTTCTCTCTTCCTTTTCGGTACTGGACATTTGAACTGAAGTACTGGATATTGTAGGCGATTGAGGTGATGATTCCAATAATGTTGTACTTGATTGTGGTTGAGATTCCGAAAATGTATATTTTTCCTCTGTAGTTCTCTCTTCCTTTTCGGCACTGGACATTTGGACTGAAGTACTGGATATTGTAGGCGATTGAGGTGATGATTCCAATAATGTTGTACTTGATTGCGGTTGAGATTCCGAAAATGTATATTTTTCCTCTGTAGTTCTCTCTTCCTTTTCGGCACTGGACATTTGGACTGAAGTACTGGATATTGTAAGCGATTGAGGTGATGATTCCAATAATGTTGTACTTGATTGCGGTTGAGATTCCGAAAATGTAGACTTTTCCTCTGGAGTTGTTGCGTATTTTTCTGTACTCGATTTTGGAAAATAACTACTGGATATTGTACTCAATTGAGGAAAAGACTTTGAAAATGTTGTGCTTGTTCGCGGTAGGGATTCCGAAAAAGTAGATTTTTCCTCTGTAGTTCTCTCTTCCTTTTTGGTACTGGACATTTGAACTGAAGTTCTGGATATTGTAGGCGATTGAGGTGATGATTCCAATAATGTTGTACTTGATTGCGGTTGAGATTCCGAGGATGTAGACTTTTTCTCTGGAGGTGTTGCGTATTTTCCTGTACTCGATGTTTGAAAATAACTACTGGATATTGTACTCAGTTGAGGAGAAGACTTTGAAAAAGTTGAGCTTGTTTGCGGAAGGGATTCCGAAAATGTTGGTTTTTCCTCTGTAGTTCTCTCTTCCTTTTCGGTACTGGAAATTTGAAGCGAAGTACTGGATATTGTAGGCGATTGAGGTGATGATTCCAATAATGTCGTACTTGATTGTGGTTGAGATTCCGAAAATGTAGATTTTTCCTCTGTAGTTCTCTCTTCCTTTTCGGTACTGGACATTTGGACTGAAGTACTGGATATTGTAGGCGATTGAGGTGATGATTCCAATAATGTTGTACTTGATTGCGGTTGAGATTCCGAAAATGTATAATTTTCCTCTGTAGTTCTCTCTTCCTTTTCGGTACTGGACATTTTGACTGAAGTACTGGATATTGTAGGCGATTGAGGTGATGATTCCAATAATGTTGTACTTGATTGCGGTTGAGATTCCGAAAATGTAGACTTTTCCTCTGGAGTTGTTGCGTATTTTTCTGTACTCGATGTTGGAAAATAACTACTGGATATTGTACTTAATTGAGGAGAAGACTTTGAAAAAGTTGTGCTTGTTTGCGGAAGGGATTCCGAAAATGTAGACTTTTCCTCTGGAGTTGTTGCGTATTTTTCTGTACTCGATGTTGGAAAATAACTACTGGATATTGTACTTAATTGAGGAGAAGACTTTGAAAAAGTTGTGCTTGTTTCCGGAAGGGATTCCGAAAATGTTGGTTTTTCCTCTGTAGTTCTCTCTTCCTTTTCGGTACTGGAAATTTGAAGCGAAGTACTGGATATTGTAGGCGATTGAGGTGATGATTCCAATAATGTCGTACTTGATTGTGGTTGAGATTCCGAAAATGTATATTTTTCCTCTGTAGTGCTCTCTTCCTTTTCGGTACTGGACATTTGGACTGAAGTACTAGATATTGTAGGCGATTGAGGTGATGATTCCAATAATGTTGTACTTGATTGCGGTTGAGATTCCGAAAATGTAGACTTTTCCTCTGGAGTTGTCGCGTATTTTTCTGTACTCGATGTTGGAAAATAACTACTGGATATTGTACTCAATTGAGGAAAAGACTTTGAAAATGTTCTGCTTGCTCGCGGTAGGGATTCCGAAAATGTAGATTTTTCCTTAGCAGTTCTCTCTTCCTTTTCGGTACTGGACATTTTGACTGAAGTACTGGATATTGTAGGCGATTGAGGTGATGATTCCAATAATGTTGTACTTGATTGCGGTTGAGATTCCGAAAATGTATATTTTTCCTCTGTAGTTCTCTCTTCCTTTTCGGTACTGGACATTTGGACTGAAGTACTGGATATTGTAGGCGATTGAGGTGATGATTCCAATAATGTTGTACTTGATTGCGGTTGAGATTCCGAAAATGTAGACTTTTCCTCTTGAGTTGTTGCGTATTTTTCTGTACTCGATGTTTGAAAATAACTACTGGATATTGTACTCAATTGAGGAAAAGACTTTGAAAAAGTTGTGCTTGTTTGCGGTAGGGATTCCGAAAATGTTGGGTTCTCCTCTGTAGTTCTCTCTTCCTTTTCGGTACTGGACTTTTGAAGTGAAGTACTGTATATTGTAGGCGATTGAGGTGATGATTCCAATAATGTTGTACTCAATTGCGGTTGAGATTCCGAAAATGTAGACTTTTGCTGTGTAGTTGTCTCTTCCTTTTCGGTACTGGACATTTGGACTGAAGTACTGGATGTTGTAGGCGATTGAGGTGATGATTCCAATAATGTTGTACTTGATTGCGGTTGAGATTCCGAAAATGTATATTTTTCCTCTGTAGTTCTCTCTTCCTTTTCGGTACTGGACATTTGGACTGAAGTACTGGATATTGTAGGCGATTGAGGTGATGATTCCAATAATGTTGTACTTGATTGCGGTTGAGATTCCGAAAATGTATACTTTTCCTCTGGAGTTGTCGCGTATTTTTCTGTACTCGATGTTTGAAAATAACTATTGGATATTGTACTCAATTGAGGAAAAGACTTTAAAAAAGTTGTGCTTGTTCGCGGTAGGGATTCCGAAAATGTAGGTTTTTCCTCTGCAGTTCTCTCTTCCTTTTCGGTACTGGACATTTGAACTGAAGTACTGGATATTGTAGGCGATTGAGGTGATGATTCCAATAATGTTGTACTTGATTGCGGTTGAGATTCCGAAAATGTAGATTTTTCCTCTGAAGTTGTAGCGTATTTTTCTGCACTCGATGTTTGAAAATAGCTACCGGATATTGTACTCAATTGAGGAAAAGACTTTGAAACAGTTGTGGGTGATTGCGGTAGGGATTCCGAAAATGTAGATTTTTCCTCTGTAGTTCTCTCTTCCTTTTCGGTACTGGACATTTTAACTGAACTACTGGATATTGTAGGTGATTGAGGTGATGATTCCAATAATGTTGTACTTGATTGCTGTTGAGATTCCGAAAGTGTAGACTTTTGCTCTGGATATGTTGCGTTTTTTTCTGTACTCGATGTTGCAAAATAACTACTGGACATTGTACTATATTGAGGAAAAGACTTTGAAACAGTTGTGCTTGATTGCGGTAGGGATTCTGAAAATGTAGATTTTTCCTCTGTAGTTCTCTCTTCCTTTTCGGTACTGGACCTTTGAACTGAAGTATTGGATATTGTAGCCGATTGAGGTGATGATACCAATAATGTTTTACTTGATTGCGGTTGAGATTCCGAAAATGTAGACTTTTCCTCTGGAGTTGTTGCGTATTTTTCTGTACTCGATGTTGGAAAATAAATACTGGACATTGTACTATATTGAGGAAAAGACTTTGAAACAGTTGTGCTTGATTGCGGTAGGGATTCTGAAAATGTAGATTTTTCCTCTGTAGTTCTTTCGTCCTTTTCGGTACTGGATATTTGAACTGAAGTACTGGATATTGTAGCCGATTGAGGTGATGATTCAAATAATGTTGTACTTGATTGCGGTAGGGATTCCGAAAATGTAGATTTTTCCTCTGAAGTTGTTGCGTATTTTTCTGCACTCGATGTTTGAAAATAGCTACTGGATATTGTACTCAATTGAGGAAAAGACTTTGAAACAGTTGTGCTTGATTGCGGTTGAGATTCCGAAAATGTAGATTTTTGCTCTGGATATGTTGCGTTTTTTTCTGTACTCGATGTTGGAAAATAACTACTGGATATTGTAGTCGAATGAGGAAAAGACTTTGAAACAAGTGTGCTTGATTGCGGTTGAGATTCCGAAAATGTAGATTTTTCCTCTGTAGTTCTTTCTTCTGTTTCGGTACTGGACATTAGAACTGAAGTACTGGATATTGTAGGCGATTGAGATGATGATTCCAAAAGATTTGTACTTGATTGCGGTAGGGATTCCGAAAATTTAGATTTTTCCTCTGTAATTCTCTCTTCCTTTTGGGTACTGGACATATGAACTGAAGTACTGGATATTGTAGCCGATTGAGGTGATGATTCCAATAATGTTGTACTTGATTGCGGTTGAGATTCCAAAAATGTAGACTTTTCCTCTAAAGTTGTTGCGTATTTTTCTGTACTCGATGTTTGAAAATAACTACTGGATATTTTACTCAATTGAGGAAAAGACTTTGAAACAGTTGTGCTTGATTGCGGTAGGGATTCTGAAAATGTAGATTTTTCCTCTGTAGTTCTCTCTTTCTTTTCGGTACTGGACATTTGAACTGAACTACTAGATATTGTAGGCGATTGAGATGATGATTCCAATAATGTTGAACTTGATTGTGTTTGAGATACCGAAAATGTAGATTTTTGCTCTGTAGTTCTCTCTTCCTTTTGGGTACTGGACATATGAACTGAAGTACTGGATATTGTAGCCGATTGAGGTGATGATTCCAATAATGTTGTACTTGATTGCGGTTGAGATTCCAAAAATGTAGACTTTTCCTCTAAAGTTGTTGCGTATTTTTCTGTACTCGATGTTTTAAAATAACTACTTGATATTGTACTCAATTGAGGAAAAGACTTTGAAAAAGTTGTGCTTGATTGCGGTAAGGATTGCGAAAATGTACATTTTTCCTCTGCAGTTCTCTCTTCCTTTTCGGTACTGGACATTTGAACTGAAGTACTGGATATTGTAGGCGATTGAGGTGATAATTCAAATAACGTTGTACTTGATTGCGGTAGGGATTCCGAAAATGTAGATTTTTCCTCTGAAGTTGTTGCGTATTTGTCTATACTCGATGTTGGAAAATAACTACTGGATATTGTAGTCAAATGAGGAAAAGACTTTGAAACAATTGTGCTTGATTGCGGTTTAGATTGCAAAAATGTAGATTTTTCCTCTGCAGTTCTCTCTTCCTTTTCGGTAGTGGACATTTGAAGTGAAGTACTGGATATTGTAGGCGATTTAGGTGATGCTTCCAATAATGTTGTACTTGATTGCGGTTGAGATTCCGAAAATGTAGACATTTCCTCTGGAGTTGTTTCGTATTTATCTTTACTCGATGTTGGAAAATAACTACTGGATATTGTACTCAATTGAAGAAAAGACTTTGAAACAGTTGTGCTTGATTGCGGTAGGGATTCCGAAAATGTAGATTTTTCCTCTGCAGTTCTCTCTTCCTTTTCGGTACTGAACATTTGAACTGAAGTACTGGATATTGTAGACGATTGAAGTGATGATTGAAATAATGTTGTACTTGATTGCGGTTGAGATTCCGAAAATGTAGGTTTTTCCTCTGCAGTTCTCTCTTCCTTTTCGGTACTGGACATTTGAACTGAAGTACTGGATATTGTAGGCGATTGAGGTGATGATTCAAATATTGTTGTACTTGATTGCGGTTGTGATTCCGAAAATGTAGACATTTCTTCTGGAGTTGATGCGTATTTTTCAGTACTCGATGTTGGAAAATAACTACTGGATATTGTACTCAATTGAAGAAAAGACTTTGAAACAGTTGTGCTTGATTGCGGTAGGGATTCCGAAAATGTAGATTTTTCCTCTGCAGTTCTCTCTTCCTTTTCGGTACTGAACATTTGAACTGAAGTACTGGATATTGTAGACGATTGAAGTGATGATTGAAATAATGTTGTACTTGATTGCGGTTGAGATTCCGAAAATGTAGGTTTTTCCTCTGCAGTTCTCTCTTCCTTTTCGGTACTGGACATTTGAACTGAAGTACTGGATATTGTAGGCGATTGAGGTGATGATTCAAATATTGTTGTACTTGATTGCGGTTGTGATTCCGAAAATGTAGACATTTCTTCTGGAGTTGATGCGTATTTTTCAGTACTCGATGTTGGAAAATAACTACTAGATATTGTACTCAATTGAGGAAAAGACTTTGAAACAGTTGTGCTTGATTGCGGTAGGGATTCCGAAAATGTAGATTTTCCCTCTGTAGTTCTCTCTTCATTTTCGGTACTGGACATTTGAACTGAAGTACTGGATATTGTAGGCGATTGAGGTGATGATTCCATTAATGTTGTACTTGATTGCGGTTGAGATTCCGAAAATGAAAATTTTTCCTCTGCAGTTCTCTTTTCCTTTTCGGTACTGGACATTTGGACTGAAGTACTGGATATTGTAGGCGACTGAGGTGATGATTCCAATAATGTTGTACTTGCTTGTGTTTGAGATTCCGAAAATGTAGATTTTTCCTCTGTAGTTCTCTCTTCCTTTTCGGTACTGGACATTTGGATTGAAGTACTGGATATTGTAGAAGATTGAGGTGATGATTCCAATAATTTTGTACTTGATTGCGGGTGAGATTCCGAAAATGTAGATTTTTCCTCTGCAGTTCTCTCTTCCTTTTCGGTACTGGACATTTGAACTGAAGTACTGGATATTGTAGGCGATTGAGGTGATGATTCAAATAATGTTGTACTTGATTGCGGTTGAGATTCCGAAAATGTAGACATTTCCTCTGGAGTTGTTTCGTATTTTTCTGTACTCGATGTTGGAAAATAACTACTGGATATTGTACTCAATTGAAGAAAAGACTTTGAAACAGTTGTGCTTGATTGCGGTAGGGATTCCGAAAATGTAGATTTTTCCTCTGCAGTTCTCTCTTCCTTTTCGGTACTGAACATTTGAACTGAAGTACTGGATATTGTAGACGATTGAAGTGATGATTGAAATAATGTACTTGATTGCGGTTGAGATTCCGAAAATGTAGGTTTTTCCTCTGCAGTTCTCTCTTCCTTTTCGGTACTGGACATTTGAACTGAAGTACTGGATATTGTAGGCGATTGAGGTGATGATTCAAATATTGTTGTACTTGATTGCGGTTGAGATTCCGAAAATGTAGACATTTCCTCTGGAGTTGTTGCGTATTTTTCTGTACTCGATGTTGGAAAATAACTACTGGATATTGTACTCAATTGAGGAAAAGACTTTGAAACAGTTGTGCTTGATTGCGGTAGGGATTCCGAAAATGTAGATTTTTCCTCTGCAGTTCTCTCTTCCTTTTCGGTACTGGACATTTGAAGTGAAGTACTGGATATTGTAGGCGATTGAGGTGATGATTCCAATAATGTTGTACTTGATTGCGGTTGAGATTCCGAAAATGTAGACATTTCCTCTGGAGTTGTTTCGTATTTTTCTGTACTCGATGTTGGAAAATAACTACTGGATATTGTACTCAATTGAGGAAAAGACTTTGAAACAGTTGTACTTGATTGCAGTAGGGATTCCGAAAATGTAGATTTTTCCTCTGCAGTTCTCTCTTTCTTTTCGGTACTGGACATTTGAACTGAAGTACTGGATATTGTATGCGATTGAGGTGATGATTCCAATAATGTTGTACTTGATTGCGGTTGAGATTCCGAAAATGTAGACATTTCCTCTGGAGTTGTTTCGTATTTTTCTGTACTCGATGTTGGAAAATAACTACTGGATATTGTACTCAATTGAGGAAAAGACTTTGAAACAGTTGTACTTGTTCGCGGTAGGGATTCCGAAAAAGTAGATTTTTCCTCAGCAGTTCTCTCTTCCTTTTCGGTACTGGACATTTTGACTGAAGTACTGGATATTGTAGGCGATTGAGGTGATGATTCCAATAATGTTGTACTTGATTGTGGTTGAGATTCCGAAAATGTATATTTTTCCTCTGTAGTTCTCTCTTCCTTTTCGGTACTGGACATTTGGACTGAAGTACTGGATATTGTAGACGATTGAAGTGATGATTGAAATAATGTTGTACTTGATTGCGGTAGGGATTCCGAAAAAGTAGATTTTTCCTCAGCAGTTCTCTCTTCCTTTTCGGTACTGGACATTTTGACTGAAGTACTGGATATTGTAGGCGATTGAGGTGATGATTCCAATAATGTTGTACTTGATTGCGGTTGAGATTCCGAAAATGTAGATTTTTCCTCTGCAGTTCTCTCTTTCTTTTCGGTACTGGACATTTGAACTGAAGTACTGGATATTGTATGCGATTGAGGTGATGATTCCAATAATGTTGTACTTGATTGCGGTTGAGATTCCGAAAATGTAGACATTTCCTCTGGAGTTGTTTCGTATTTTTCTGTACTCGATGTTGGAAAATAACTACTGGATATTGTACTCAATTGAAGAAAAGACTTTGAAACAGTTGTGCTTGATTGCGGTAGGGATTCCGAAAATGTAGATTTTTCCTCTGCAGTTCTCTCTTCCTTTTCGGTACTGAACATTTGAACTGAAGTACTGGATATTGTAGACGATTGAAGTGATGATTGAAATAATGTTGTACTTGATTGCGGTTGAGATTCCGAAAATGTAGATTTTTCCTCTGCAGTTCTCTCTTCCTTTTCGGTACTGGACATTTGAACTGAAGTTCTGGATATTGTAGGCGGTTGAGGTGATGATTCAAATATTGTTGTACTTGATTGCGGTTGAGATTCCGAAAATGTAGACTTTTGCTCTGGAGTTGTTTCGTATTTTTCTGTACTCGATGTTGGAAAATAACTACTGGATATTGTACTCAATTGAGGAAAAGACTTTGAAACAGTTGTACTTGATTGCAGTAGGGATTCCGAAAATGTAGATTTTTCCTCTGCAGTTCTCTCTTTCTTTTCGGTACTGGACATTTGAACTGAAGTACTGGATATTGTAGGCGATTGAGGTGATGATTCCATTAATGTTGTACTTGATTGCGGTTGAGATTCCGAAAATGTAGACATTTCCTCTGGAGTTGTTTCGTATTTTTCTGTACTTGATGTTGGAAAATAACTACTGGATATTGTACTCAAGTAAGGAAAAGACTTTGAAACAGTTGTGCTTAATGGCAGTAGGGTCTCCGAAAATGTAGATTTTTCCTCTGCAGTTCTCTCTTCCTTTTCGGTACTGGACATTTGAACTGAAGTTCTGGATATTGTAGGCGGTTGAGGTGATGATTCAAATATTGTTGTACTTGATTGCGGTTGAGATTCCGAAAATGTAGACTTTTCCTCTGGAGCTGTTGCGTATTTTTCTGTACTCGATGATAGAAAATAACTACTGGATATTGTACTCAATTGAGGAAAAGACTTTGAAACAGTTGTGCTTGATTGCGGTAGGGATTCCGAAAATGTAGATTTTTCCTCTGCAGTTCTCTCTTCCTTTTCGGTACTGGACATTTGAACTGAAGTACTGGATATTGTAGGCGATTGAGGTGATGATTCCAATAATGTTGAAAATGTAGACTTATGCTCTGGATATGTTGCGTATTTTTCTGCACTCGATGTTTGAAAATAACTACTGGATATTGTACTCAATTGAGGAAAAGACTTTGAAACAGTTGTGCTTGATTGCGGTTGAGATTCCGAAAATGTAGATTTTTCCTCTGTAGTTTGAAGTGAAGTACGGGATATTGTAGGCGATTGAGGTGATGATTCCAATAATGTTGAAAATGTAGACTTATGCTCTGGATATGTTGCGTATTTTTCTGCACTCCATGTTTGAAAATAACTACTGGATATTGTACTCAATTGAGGAAAAGACTTTGAAACAGTTGTGCTTGATTGCGGTAGGGATTCCGAAAATGTAGATTTTTCCTCTGCAGTTCTCTCTTCATTTTCGGTACTAGACATTTGAACTGATTTACGCGGTATTGTAGGCGATTGAGGTGATGATTCAAATAATGTTGTACTTGATTGCGTTTGAGATTCCGAAAATGTAGATTTTTCCTCTGCAGATCTCTTTTCCTTTTCGGTACTGGACATTTGAAGTGAAGTACTGGATATTGTAGGCGATTGAGGTGATGATTCCAATAGTGTTGTACTTAATTGCGGTTGAGATTCCGAAAATGTAGACTTTTGCTCTGGATATGTTGCGTATTTTTCTGCACTCGGTGTTTGAAAATAACTACTGGACATTGTACTCAATTGAGGAAAAGACTTTGAAACAGTTGTGCTTGATTGCGGTAGGGATTCCGAAAATGTAGATTTTTCCTCTGCAGTTCTCTTTTCCTTTTCGGTACTGGACATTTGAACTGAAGTACTGGGTATTGTAGGCGATTGAGGTGATGATTCAAATAATGTTGTACTTGATTGCGGTTGATATTCCGAAAAGGTAGATTGTTCCCCTGCAGTTCTTTCTTCCTTTTCGGTACTGGACATTTGAAGAGAAATACTGGATATTGTAGGCGACTGAGGTGATGATTCCGATAATGTTGTACTTAATTTCGGTTGAGATTCCAAAAATGTAGACATTTGCTCTGGATATGTTGCGTATTTTTCTGCACTCCATGTTTGAAAATAACTACTGGATATTGTACTCAATTGAGGAAAAGACTTTGAAACAGTTGTGCTTGATTGCGGTAGGGATTCCGAAAATGTAGATTTTTCCTCTGCAGTTCTCTTTTCCTTTTCGGTACTGGACATTTGAACTGAAGTACTGGGTATTGTAGGCGATTGAGGTGATGATTCAAATAATGTTGTACTTGATTGCGGTTGAGATTCCGAAAAGGTAGATTTTTTCTCTGCAAATCTCTCTTCCTTTTCGGTACTGGACATTTGAAGTGAAGTACTGGATATTGTAGGCGGTTGAGGTGATGATTCCAATAATGTTGTACTTAATTGCGGTTGAGATTCCGAAAATTTAGACTTTTGCTCTGGAGTTGTTTCGTATTTTTCTGTACTCGATGTTGGAAAATAACTACTGGATATTGTACTCAATTGAGGAAAAGACTTTGAAACAGTTGTGCTTGATTGCGGTAGGGATTCCGAAAATGTAGATTTTCCCTCTGTAGTTCTCTCTTCATTTTCGGTACTGGACATTTGAACTGAAGTACTGGATATTGTAGGCGACTGAGGTGATGATTCCATTAATGTTGTACTTGATTGCGGTTGAGATTCCGAAAACGTAGACTTTTCCTCTGGAGTTGTTGCGTATTTTTCTGTACTGGATGATAGAAAATAACTACTGGATATTGTACTCAAATGAGGAAAAGACTTTGAAACAGTTGTGCTTGATTGCGGTAGAGATTCCGAAAATGTAGATTTTTCCTCTGGAGTTGTTTCGTATTTTTCTGTACTCGATGTTGGAAAATAACTACTGAATATTGTACTCAATTGAGGAAAAGACTTTGAAACAGTTGTGCTTGATTGCGGTAGGGATTCCAAAAATGTAGATTTTTCCTCTGCAGTTTTCTCTTCCTTTTCGGTACTGGACAGTTGAACTGAAGTACTGGATATTGTATGCGATTGAGGTGATGATTCAAATATTGTTGTACTTGATTGCGATTGAGATTCCGAATATGTAGACATTTCCTCTGGAGTTGTTTCGTATTTTTCTATACTCGATGTTGCAAAATAACTACTGGATATTGTACTCAATTGAGGAAAAGACTTTGAAACAGTTGTGCTTGATTGCGGTAGGGATTCCGAAAATGTAGATTTTTCCTCTGCAGTTCTCTCTTCCTTTTCGGTACTGGACATTTGAACTGAAGTACTGGATATTGTAAGCGATTGAGGTGATGATTCAAATATTGTTGTACTTGATTGCGGTTGAGATTCCGAAAATGTAGACATTTCCTCTGGAGTTGTTTCGTATTTTTCTGTACTCGATGTTGGAAAATAACTACTGGATATTGTACTCAATTGAGGAAAAGACTTTGAAACAGTTGTGCTTAATTGCGGTAGGGATTCCAAAAATGTAGATTTTTCCTCTGCAGTTTTCTCTTCCTTTTCGGTACTGGACAGTTGAACTGAAGTACTGGATATTGTAGGCGATTGAGGTGATGATTCAAATATTGTTGTACTTGGTCGCGGTTGAGATTCCGAATATGGAGACACTTCCTCTGGAGTTGTTTCGTATTTTTCTGTACTCGATGTTGGAAAATAACTACTGGATATTGTACTCAATTGAGGAAAAGACTTTGAAACAGTTGTGCTTGATTGCGGTAGGGATTCCGAAAATGTAGATTTTTCCTCTGTAGTTCTCTCTTCCTTTTCGGTACTGGACATTTGGACTGAAGTACTGGCTATTGTAGACGATTGTGGTGATGTTTCCAATAATTTTGTACTTGATTGCGGCCGAGATTCCGAAAATATAGACTTTTCCTCTGCAAATCTCTCTTCCTTTTCGGCACTGGACATTTGAAGTGAAGTACTGGATATTGTAGGCGATTGAGGTGATGATTCCAATAATGTTGTACTTAATTGCGGTTGAGATTCCGAAAATGTAGACTTTTGCTCTGGATATGTTGCGTATTTTTCTGCACTCGATGTTTGAAAATAACTACTGGATATTGTACTCAATTGAGGAAAAGACTTTGAAACAGTTGTGCTTGATTGCGGTAGGGATTCCGAAAAGGTAGATTTTTCCTCTGCAGTTCTTTCTTCCTTTTCGGTACTGGACATTTGAAGTGAAGTACTGGATATTGTAGGCGATTGAGGTGATGATTCCAATAATGTTGTACTTAATTGCGGTTGAGTTTCCGAAAATGTAGACTTTTTCTGTGGAGTTGTTTCGTATTTTTCTGTACTCGATGTTGGAAAATAACTACTGGATATTGTACTCAATTGAGGAAAAGACTTTGAAACAGTTGTGCTTGAATGCAGTAGGGATTCCGAAAATGTAGATTTTTCCTCTGCAGTTCTCTCTTCCTTTTCGGTACTGGACATTTGAACTGAAGTACTGGCTATTTTAGGCGATTGAGGTAATGATTCTAATATTGTAGTATTTGATTGCGGTTGAGATTCCGAAAATGTAGACATTTCCTCTGGAGTTGTTTCGTATTTTTCTGTACTCGATGTTGGAAAATAACTACTGGATATTGTACTCAATTGAGGAAAAGACTTTGAAACAGTTGCGCTTGATTGCGGTAGGGATTCCGAAAATGTAGATTTTTCCTCTGTAGTTCTCTCTTCATTTTCGGTACTGGACATTTGAACTGAAGTACTGGATATTGTAGGCGATTGAGGTGATGATTCCATTAATGTCGTACTTGATTGCGGCTGAGATTTCGAAAATGTAGATTTTTTCTCTGCAGTTCTCTCTTCCTTTTCGGTACTGGACATTTGAAGTGAAGTACTGGATATTGTAGGCGATTGAGGTGATGATTCAAATAACGTTGTACTTGATTGCGGTTGAGATTCCGAAAATGTAGATTTTTCCTCTGCAGTTTTCTCTTCCTTTTCGGTACTAGACATTTGAACTGATTTACGGGGTATTGTAGGCGATTGAGGTGATGATTCAAATAATGTTGTACTTGATTGCGGTTGAGATTCCGAAAATGTAGATTTTTCCTCTGCAGATCTCTTTTCCTTTTCGGTACTGGACATTTGAACTGAAGTACTGGATATTGTAGGCGACTGAGGTGATGATTCCAATAATGTTGTACTTGCTTTTGTTTGAGATTCCGAAAATGTAGATTTTTCCTCTGTAGTTCTCGCTTTCATTTCGGTACTAGAAATTTGAAGGGAAGTACTGGATATTGTAGGCGACTGAGGTGATGATTCCAATAATGTTGTACTTGATTGCGGTTGAGATTCCGAAAATGTAGACTTTTGCTCTGTAGTTCTCTCTTCCTTTTCGGTACTGGACATTTGGACTGAAGTACTGGATATTGTAGAAGATTGTGGTGATGATTCCAATAATTTTGTACTTGATTGCGGCCGAGATTCCGAAAATGTAGACTTTTCCTCTGCAAATCTCTCTTCCTTTTCGGTACTGGACATTTGAAGTGAAGAACTGGATATTGTAGGCGATTGAGGTGATGATTCCAATAATGTTGTACTTAATTGCGGTTGAGATTCCGAAAATGTAGACTTTTGCTCTGGAGTTGTTTCGTATTTTTCTGTACTCGATGTTGGAAAATAACTACTGGATATTGTACTCAATTGAGGAAAAGACTTTGAAACAGTTGTGCTTGATTGCGGTAGGGATTCCGAATATGTAGATTTTCCCTCTGTAGTTCTCTTTTCTTTTTTGGTACTGGACATTTGGACTGAAGTACTGGATATTGTAGGCGACTGAGGTGATGATTCCAATAATGTTGTACTTGCTTGTGTTTGAGATTCCGAAAATGTTGATTTTTCCTCTGTAGTTCTCTCTTCCTTTTCGGTACTGGACATTTGGACTGAAGTACTGGATATTGTAGGCGATTGAGGTGATGATTCAAATATTGTTGTACTTGATTGCGGTTGAGATTCCGAATATGTAGACATTTCCTCTGGAGTTGTTTCGTATTTTTCTGTACTCGATGTTGGAAAATAACTACTGGATATTGTACTCAATTGAGGAAAAGACTTCGAAACAGTTGTGCTTGATTGCGGTAGGGATTCCGAAAATGTAGATTTTCCCTCTGTAGTTCTCTCTTCATTTTCGGTACTGGACATTTGAACTGAAGTACTGGATATTGTAGGCGACTGAGGTGATGATTCCATTAATGTTGTACTTGATTGCGGTTGAGATTCCGAAAACGTAGACTTTTCCTCTGGAGTTGTTGCGTATTTTTCTGTACTGGATGATAGAAAATAACTACTGGATATTGTACTCAAATGAGGAAAAGACTTTGAAACAGTTGTGCTTGATTGCGGTAGAGATTCCGAAAATGTAGATTTTTCCTCTGGAGTTGTTTCATATTTTTCTGTACTCGATGTTGGAAAATAACTACTGGATATTGTACTCAATTGAGGAAAAGACTTTGAAACAGTTGTGCTTGATTGCGGTAGGGATTTCGAAAATGTAGATTTTCCCTCTGTAGTTCTCTCTTCTTTTTTGGTACTGGACATTTGAACTGAAGTACTGGATATTGTAGGCGATTGAGGCGATGATTCCATTAATGTTGTACTTGATTGCGGTTGAGATTCCGAAAATGTAGATTTTTCCTCTGCAGTTCTCTTTTCCTTTTCGGTTCTGGACATTTGGACTGAAGTACTGGATATTGTAGGCGACTGAGGTGATGATTCCAATAATGTTGTACTTGCTTGTGTTTGAGATTCCGAAAATGTTGATTTTTCCTCTGTAGTTTTCTCTTCCTTTTCGGTACTGGACATTTGGACTGAAGTACTGGATATTGTAGGCGATTGAGGTGGTGATTCAAATATTGTTGTACTTGATTGCGGTTGAGATTCCGAATATGTAGACATTTCCTCTGGAGTTGTTTCGTATTTTTCTGTACTCGATGTTGGAAAATAACTACTGGATATTTTACTCAATTGAGGAAAAGACTTCGAAACAGTTGTGCTTGATTGCGGTAGGGATTCCGAAAATGTAGATTTTCCCTCTGTAGTTCTCTCTTCATTTTCGGTACTGGACATTTGAACTGAAGTACTGGATATTGTAGGCGACTGAGGTGATGATTCCATTAATGTTGTACTTGATTGCGGTTGAGATTCCGAAAACGTAGACTTTTCCTCTGGAGTTGTTGCGTATTTTTCTGTACTGGATGATAGAAAATAACTACTGGATATTGTACTCAAATGAGGAAAAGACTTTGAAACAGTTGTGCTTGATTGCGGTAGAGACTCCGAAAATGTAGATTTTTCCTCTGGAGTTGTTTCATATTTTTCTGTACTCGATGTTGGAAAATAACTACTGGATATTGTACTCAATTGAGGAAAAGACTTTGAAACAGTTGTGCTTGATTGCGGTAGGGATTTCGAAAATGTAGATTTTCCCTCTGTAGTTCTCTCTTCTTTTTGGTACTGGACATTTGAACTGAAGTACTGGATATTGTAGGCGATTGAGGCGATGATTCCATTAATGTTGTACTTGATTGCGGTTGAGATTCCGAAAATGTAGATTTTTCCTCTGCAGTTCTCTTTTCCTTTTCGGTTCTGGACATTTGGACTGAAGTACTGGATATTGTAGGCGACTGAGGTGATGATTCCAATAATGTTGTACTTGCTTGTGTTTGAGATTCCGAAAATGTTGATTTTTCCTCTGTAGTTTTCTCTTCCTTTTCGGTACTGGACATTTGGACTGAAGTACTGGATATTGTAGGCGATTGAGGTGGTGATTCAAATATTGTTGTACTTGATTGCGGTTGAGATTCCGAATATGTAGACATTTCCTCTGGAGTTGTTTCGTATTTTTCTGTACTCGATGTTGGAAAATAACTACTGGATATTGTACTCAATTGAGGAAAAGACTTTGAAACAGTTGTGCTTAATTGCGGTAGGGATTCCGAAAATGTAGATTTTTCCTCTGCAGTTCTCTCTTCCTTTTCGGTACTGGACATTTGAACTGAAGTACTGGATATTGTAAGCGATTGAGGTGATGATTCAAATATTGTTGTACTTGATTGCGGTTGAGATTCCGAAAATGTAGACAATTCCTCTGGAGTTGTTTCGTATTTTTCTGTACTCGATGTTGGAAAATAACTACTGGATATTGTACTCAATTGAGGAAAAGACTTTGAAACAGTTGTGCTTGATTGCGGTAGGGATTCCGAAAATGTAGATTTTTCCTCTGCAGTTCTCTCTTCCTTTTCGGTACTGGACATTTGAACTGAAGTACTGGATTTTGTAGGCGATTGAGGTGATGATTCAAATATTGTTGTACTTGATTGCGGTTGAGATTCCGAAAATGTAGACAATTCCTCTGGAGTTGTTTCGTATTTTTCTGTACTCGATGTTGGAAAATAACTACTGGATATTGTACTCAATTGAGGAAAAGACTTTGAAACAGTTGTGCTTGATTGCGGTAGGGATTCCGAAAATGGAGATTTTTCCTCTGCAGTTCTCTCTTCCTTTTCGGTACTGGACATTTGAACTGAAGTACTGGATTTTGTAGGCGATTGAGGTGATGATTCAAATATTGTTGTACTTGATTGCGGTTGAGATTCCGAAAATGTAGACAGTTCCTCTGGAGTTGTTTCGTATTTTTCTGTACTCGATGTTGGAAAATAACTACTGGATATTGTACTCAATTGAGGAAAAGACTTTGAAACAGTTGTGCTTGATTGCGGTAGGGATTTCGAAAATGTAGATTTTCCCTCTGTAGTTCTCTCTTCTTTTTTGGTACTGGACATTTGAACTGAAGTACTGGATATTGTAGGCGACTGAGGTGATGATTCCATTAATGTTGTACTTGATTGCGGTTGAGATTCCGAAAACGTAGACTTTTCCTCTGGAGTTGTTGCGTATTTTTCTGTACTGGATGATAGAAAATAACTACTGGATATTGTACTCAAATGAGGAAAAGACTTTGAAACAGTTGTGCTTGATTGCGGTAGAGACTCCGAAAATGTAGATTTTTCCTCTGGAGTTGTTTCATATTTTTCTGTACTCGATGTTGGAAAATAACTACTGGATATTGTACTCAATTGAGGAAAAGACTTTGAAACAGTTGTGCTTGATTGCGGTAGGGATTTCGAAAATGTAGATTTTCCCTCTGTAGTTCTCTCTTCTTTTTTGGTACTGGACATTTGAACTGAAGTACTGGATATTGTAGGCGATTGAGGCGATGATTCCATTAATGTTGTACTTGATTGCGGTTGAGATTCCGAAAATGTAGATTTTTCCTCTGCAGTTCTCTTTTCCTTTTCGGTTCTGGACATTTGGACTGAAGTACTGGATATTGTAGGCGACTGAGGTGATGATTCCAATAATGTTGTACTTGCTTGTGTTTGAGATTCCGAAAATGTTGATTTTTCCTCTGTAGTTTTCTCTTCCTTTTCGGTACTGGACATTTGGACTGAAGTACTGGATATTGTAGGCGATTGAGGTGGTGATTCAAATATTGTTGTACTTGATTGCGGTTGAGATTCCGAATATGTAGACATTTCCTCTGGAGTTGTTTCGTATTTTTCTGTACTCGATGTTGGAAAATAACTACTGGATATTGTACTCAATTGAGGAAAAGACTTTGAAACAGTTGTGCTTAATTGCGGTAGGGATTCCGAAAATGTAGATTTTTCCTCTGCAGTTCTCTCTTCCTTTTCGGTACTGGACATTTGAACTGAAGTACTGGATATTGTAAGCGATTGAGGTGATGATTCAAATATTGTTGTACTTGATTGCGGTTGAGATTCCGAAAATGTAGACAATTCCTCTGGAGTTGTTTCGTATTTTTCTGTACTCGATGTTGGAAAATAACTACTGGATATTGTACTCAATTGAGGAAAAGACTTTGAAACAGTTGTGCTTGATTGCGGTAGGGATTCCGAAAATGTAGATTTTTCCTCTGCAGTTCTCTCTTCCTTTTCGGTACTGGACATTTGAACTGAAGTACTGGATTTTGTAGGCGATTGAGGTGATGATTCAAATATTGTTGTACTTGATTGCGGTTGAGATTCCGAAAATGTAGACAATTCCTCTGGAGTTGTTTCGTATTTTTCTGTACTCGATGTTGGAAAATAACTACTGGATATTGTACTCAATTGAGGAAAAGACTTTGAAACAGTTGTGCTTGATTGCGGTAGGGATTCCGAAAATGGAGATTTTTCCTCTGCAGTTCTCTCTTCCTTTTCGGTACTGGACATTTGAACTGAAGTACTGGATTTTGTAGGCGATTGAGGTGATGATTCAAATATTGTTGTACTTGATTGCGGTTGAGATTCCGAAAATGTAGACAGTTCCTCTGGAGTTGTTTCGTATTTTTCTGTACTCGATGTTGGAAAATAACTACTGGATATTGTACTCAATTGAGGAAAAGACTTTGAAACAGTTGTGCTTGATTGCGGTAGGGATTTCGAAAATGTAGATTTTCCCTCTGTAGTTCTCTCTTCTTTTTTGGTACTGGACATTTGAACTGAAGTACTGGATATTGTAGGCGACTGAGGTGATGATTCCATTAATGTTGTACTTGATTGCGGTTGAGATTCCGAAAACGTAGACTTTTCCTCTGGAGTTGTTGCGTATTTTTCTGTACTGGATGATAGAAAATAACTACTGGATATTGTACTCAAATGAGGAAAAGACTTTGAAACAGTTGTGCTTGATTGCGGTAGAGACTCCGAAAATGTAGATTTTTCCTCTGGAGTTGTTTCATATTTTTCTGTACTCGATGTTGGAAAATAACTACTGGATATTGTACTCAATTGAGGAAAAGACTTTGAAACAGTTGTGCTTGATTGCGGTAGGGATTTCGAAAATGTAGATTTTCCCTCTGTAGTTCTCTCTTCTTTTTTGGTACTGGACATTTGAACTGAAGTACTGGATATTGTAGGCGATTGAGGCGATGATTCCATTAATGTTGTACTTGATTGCGGTTGAGATTCCGAAAATGTAGATTTTTCCTCTGCAGTTCTCTTTTCCTTTTCGGTTCTGGACATTTGGACTGAAGTACTGGATATTGTAGGCGACTGAGGTGATGATTCCAATAATGTTGTACTTGCTTGTGTTTGAGATTCCGAAAATGTTGATTTTTCCTCTGTAGTTTTCTCTTCCTTTTCGGTACTGGACATTTGGACTGAAGTACTGGATATTGTAGGCGATTGAGGTGGTGATTCAAATATTGTTGTACTTGATTGCGGTTGAGATTCCGAATATGTAGACATTTCCTCTGGAGTTGTTTCGTATTTTTCTGTACTCGATGTTGGAAAATAACTACTGGATATTGTACTCAATTGAGGAAAAGACTTTGAAACAGTTGTGCTTAATTGCGGTAGGGATTCCGAAAATGTAGATTTTTCCTCTGCAGTTCTCTCTTCCTTTTCGGTACTGGACATTTGAACTGAAGTACTGGATATTGTAAGCGATTGAGGTGATGATTCAAATATTGTTGTACTTGATTGCGGTTGAGATTCCGAAAATGTAGACAATTCCTCTGGAGTTGTTTCGTATTTTTCTGTACTCGATGTTGGAAAATAACTACTGGATATTGTACTCAATTGAGGAAAAGACTTTGAAACAGTTGTGCTTGATTGCGGTAGGGATTCCGAAAATGTAGATTTTTCCTCTGCAGTTCTCTCTTCCTTTTCGGTACTGGACATTTGAACTGAAGTACTGGATTTTGTAGGCGATTGAGGTGATGATTCAAATATTGTTGTACTTGATTGCGGTTGAGATTCCGAAAATGTAGACAATTCCTCTGGAGTTGTTTCGTATTTTTCTGTACTCGATGTTGGAAAATAACTACTGGATATTGTACTCAATTGAGGAAAAGACTTTGAAACAGTTGTGCTTGATTGCGGTAGGGATTCCGAAAATGTAGATTTTTCCTCTGCAGTTCTCTCTTCCTTTTCGGTACTGGACATTTGAACTGAAGTACTGGATTTTGTAGGCGATTGAGGTGATGATTCAAATATTGTTGTACTTGATTGCGGTTGAGATTCCGAAAATGTAGACTTTTGCTTTGTAGTTCTCTCTTCCTTTTCGGTACTGGACATTTGGATTGAAGTACTGGATATTGTAGAAGATTGTGGTGATGATTCCAATAATTTTGTACTTGATTGCGGCCGAGATTCCGAAAATGTAGACTTTTCCTCTGCAAATCTCTCTTCCTTTTCGGTACTGGACATTTGAACTGAAGTACTGGATTTTGTAGGCGATTGAGGTGATGATTCAAATATTGTTGTACTTGATTGCGGTTGAGATTCCGAAAATGTAGACTTTTGCTTTGTAGTTCTCTCTTCCTTTTCGGTACTGGACATTTGGACTGAAGTACTGGATATTGTAGGCGATTGAGGTGATGATTCCAATAATGTTGTACTTAATTGCGGTTGAGATTCCGAAAATGTAGACTTTTGCTCTGGAGTTGTTTCGTATTTTTCTGTACTCGATGTTGTAAAATAACTACTGGATATTGTACTCAATTGAGGAAAAGACTTTGAAACAGTTGTGCTTGATTGCAGTAGGGATTCCGAAAATGTAGATTTTTCCTCTGCAGTTCTCTCTTCCTTTTCGGTACTGGACATTTGAACTGAAGTACTGGCTATTGTAGGCGATTGAGGTAATGATTCTAATATTGTTGTTCTTGATTGCGGTTGAGATTCCGAAAATGTAGACATTTCCTCTGGAGTTGTTTCGTTTTTTTCTGTACTCGATGTTGGAAAATAACTACTGGATATTGTACTCAGTTGAGGAAAAGACTTTGAAACAGTTGTGCTTGATTGCGGTAGGGATTCCGAAAATGTAGATTTTCCCTCTGTAGTTCTCTCTTCATTTTCGGTACTGGACATTTGAACTGAAGTACTGGATATTGTAGGCGACTGAGGTGATGATTCCATTAATGTTGTACTTGTTTGCGGTTGAGATTCCGAAAACGTAGACTTTTCCTCTGGAGTTGTTGCGTATTTTTCTGTACTGGATGATAGAAAATAACTACTGGATATTGTACTCAAATGAGGAAAAGACTTTGAAACAGTTGTGCTTGATTGCGGTAGAGACTCCGAAAATGTAGATTTTTCCTCTGGAGTTGTTTCGTATTTTTCTGTACTCGATGTTGGAAAATAACTACTGGATATTGTACTCAATTGAGGAAAAGACTTTGAAACAGTTGTGCTTGATTGCGGTAGGGATTCCGAATATGTAGATTTTCCCTCTGTAGTTCTCTCTTCTTTTTTGGTACTGGACATTTGAACTGAAGTACTGGATATTGTAGGCGATTGAGGCGATGATTCCATTAACGTTGTACTTGATTGCGGTTGAGATTCCGAAAATGTAGATTTTTCCTCTGCAGTTCTCTTTTCCTTTTCGGTTCTGGACATTTGGACTGAAGTACTGGATATTGTAGGCGACTGAGGTGATGATTCCAATAATGTTGTACTTGCTTGTGTTTGAGATTCCGAAAATGTTGATTTTTCCTCTGTAGTTCTCTCTTCCTTTTCGGTACTGGACATTTGGACTGAAGTACTGGATATTGTAGGCGATTGAGGTGATGATTCAAATATTGTTGTACTTGATTGCGGTTGAGATTCCGAATATGTAGACATTTCCTCTGGAGTTGTTTCGTATTTTTCTGTACTCGATGTTGGAAAATAACTACTGGATATTGTACTCAATTGAGGAAAAGACTTTGAAACAGTTGTGCTTGATTGCGGTAGGGATTCCGAAAATGTAGATTTTTCCTCTGCAGTTCTCTCTTCCTTTTCGGTACTGGACATTTGAACTGAAGTACTGGATATTGTAAGCGATTGAGGTGATGATTCAAATAATGTTGTACTTGATTGCGGTTGAGATTCCAAAAATGTAGACATTTCCTCTGGAGTTGTTTCGTATTTTTCTGTACTCGATGTTGGAAAATAACTACTGGATATTGTACTCAATTGAGGAAAAGACTTTGAAACAGTTGTGCTTGATTGCGGTAGGGATTCCGAAAATGTAGATTTTTCCTCTGCAGTTCTCTCTTCCTTTTCGGTACTGGACATTTGAACTGAAGTACTGGATTTTGTAGGCGATTGAGGTGATGATTCAAATATTGTTGTACTTGATTGCGGTTGAGATTCCGAAAATGTAGACATTTCCTCTGGAGTTGTTTCGTATTTTTCTTTACTCGACGTTGGAAAATAACTACTGGATATTGTACTCAATTGAGGAAAAGACTTTGAAACAGTTGTGCTTGATTGCGGTAGGGATTCCGAAAATGTAGATTTTTCCTCTGCAGTTCTCTCTTCCTTTTCGGTACTGGACATTTGAACTGAAGTACTGGATTTTGTAGGCGATTGAGGTGATGATTCAAATATTGTTGTACTTGATTGGGGTTGAGATTCCGAAAATGTAGACATTTCCTCTGGAGTTGTTTCGTATTTTTCTTTACTCGACGTTGGAAAATAACTACTGGATATTGTACTCAATTGAGGAAAAGACTTTGAAACAGTTGTGCTTGATTGCGGTAGGGATTCCGAAAATGTAGATTTTTCCTCTGCAGTTCTCTCTTCCTTTTCGGTACTGGACATTTGAACTGAAGTACTGGATATTGTAAGCGATTGAGGTGATGATTCAAATATTGTTGTACTTGATTGCGGTTGAGATTCCGAAAATGTAGACATTTCCTCTGGAGTTGTTTCGTATTTTTCTGTACTCGATGTTGGAAAATAACTACTGGATATTGTACTCAATTGAGGAAAAGACTTTGAAACAGTTGTGCTTGATTGCGGTACGGATTCCGAAAATGTAGATTTTTCCTCTGCAGTTCTCTCTTCCTTTTCGGTACTGGACATTTGAACTGAAGTACTGGATACTGTAGGCGATTGAGGTGATGATTCAAATATTGTTGTACTTGATTGTGGTTGAGATTTCGAAAATGTAGACATTTTCTCTGGAGTTGTTTCGTATTTTTCTGTACTCGATAATGGAAAATAACTACTGGATATTGTACTCAATTGAGGAAAAGACTTTGAAACAGTTGTGCTTGATTGCGGTTGAGATTCCGAAAATGTAGATTTTTCCTCTGCAGTTCTCTCTTCCTTTTCGGTACTGGACATTTGAACTGAAGTACTGGATATTGTAGGCGATTGAGGTGATGTTTCAAATAATGTTGTACTTGATTGCGGTTGAGATTCCGGAAATGTAGACATTTCCTCTGGAGTTGTTTCGTATTTTTCTGTACTCGATGTTGGAAAATAACTACTGGATATTGTACTCAATTGAGGAAAAGACTTTGAAACAGTTGTGCTTGATTGCGGTAGGGATTCCGAAAATGTAGATTTTTTCTCTGTAGTTATCTCTTCATTTTCGGTACTGGACATTTGAACTGAAGTACTGGATATTGTAGGCGATTGAGAAAATGTAGATTTTTCCTCTGTAGTTCTCTCTTTCTTTTCGGTACTGGACATTAGAACTGAAGTACTGGATATTGTAGGCGATTTAGGTGATGATTCCATTAATGTTGTACTTGATTGCGGTTGAGATTCCGAAAATGTAGACTTTTGGTCTGGATATTTTGCGTATTTTTCTGCACTCGATGTTTGAAAATAACTACTGGATATTGTACTCAATTGAGGAAAAGACTTTGAAACAGTTGTGCTTAATTGCAGTAGGGATTCCGAAAATGTAGATTTTTCCTCTGCAGTTCTCTCTTCCTTTTCGGTACTAGACATTTGAACTGATTTACTGGGTATTGTAGGCGATTGATGTGATGATTCAAATAATGTTGTACTTGATTGCGGATGAGATTCCGAAAATGTAGATTTTTCCTCTGCAGTTCTTTTTTCCTTTGCGGTACTGGACATTTGAAGTGAAGTACTGGATATTGTAGGCGATTGAGGTGATGATTCCATTAATGTTGTACTTGATTGCGGTTGAGATTCCGAAAACGTAGACTTTTCCTCTGGAGCTGTTGCGTATTTTTCTGTACTCGATGTTTGAAAATAAGTACTGGACATTGTACTCAATTGAGGAAAAGACTTTGAAACAGTTGTGCTTGATTGCAGTAGGGATTCCGAAAATGTAGATTTTTCCTCTGCAGTTCTCTCTTCCTTTTCGGTACTGGACATTTGAACTGAAGTACTGGATATTGTAAGCGATTGAGGTGATGATTCAAATATTGTTGTACTTGATTGCGGTTGAGATTCCGAAAATGTAGACATTTCCTCTGGAGTTGTTTCGTATTTTTCTGTACTCGATGTTGGAAAATAACTACTGGATATTGTACTCAATTGAGGAAAAGACTTTGAAACAGTTGTGCTTAATTGCAGTAGGGATTCCGAAAATGTAGATTTTTCCTCTGCAGCTCTCTCTTCTTTTTCGGTACTGGACATTTGAACTGAAGTACTGGATTTTGTAGGCGATTGAGGTGATGATTCAAATATTGTTGTACTTGATTGCGGTTGAGATTCCGAAAATGTAGACATTTCCTCTGGAGTTGCTTCGTATTTTTCTTTACTCGATGTTGGAAAATAACTACTGGATATTGTACTCAATTGAGGAAAAGACTTTGAAACAGTTGTGCTTGATTGCGGTAGGGATTCCGAAAATGTAGATTTTTCCTCTGCAGTTCTCTCTTCCTTTTCGGTACTAGACATTTGAACTGATTTACTGGGTATTGTAGGCGATTGATGTGATGATTCAAATAATGTTGTACTTGATTGCGGATGAGATTCCGAAAATGTAGATTTTTCCTCTGCAGTTCTTTTTTCCTTTGCGGTACTGGACATTTGAAGTGAAGTACTGGATATTGTAGGCGATTGAGGTGATGATTCCATTAATGTTGTACTTGATTGCGGTTGAGATTCCGAAAACGTAGACTTTTCCTCTGGAGCTGTTGCGTATTTTTCTGTACTCGATGTTTGAAAATAAGTACTGGACATTGTACTCAATTGAGGAAAAGACTTTGAAACAGTTGTGCTTGATTGCGGTTGAGATTCCGAAAATGTAGATTTTTCCTCTGCAGTTCTCCCTTCCTTTTCGGTACTGGACATTTGAAGTGAAGTACTGGATATTGTAGGCGATTGAGGTGATGATTCCAATAATGTTGTACTTGATTGCGGTTGAGATTCCGAAAATGTAGACATTTCCTCTGGAGTTGTTTCGTTTTTTTCTGTACTCGATGTTGGCAAATTTCTACTGGATATTGTACTCAAATGAGGAAAAGACTTTGAAACAGTTGTGCTTGATTGCGGTAGAGTTTCCGAAAATGTAGATTTTTCCTCTGTAGTTCTCTCTTCCCTTTCGGTACTGGACACTTGAACTGAAGTACTGGATATTGTAGGCGACTGAGGTGATGATTCCAATAATGTTGTACTTGATTGTGTTTGAGATTCCGAAAATGTAGATCTTTCCTCTGCAGTGCTCTCTTCCTTTTCGGTACTGGACATTTGAACTGAAGTACTGGATATTGTAGGCGATTGAGGTGATGATTCAAATAATGTTGTACTTGATTGCGGTTGAGATTCCGAAAATGTAGATTTTTCCTCTGCAGTTCTCTCTTCCTTTTCGGTACTGGACATTTGAACTGAAGTACTGGATATTGTAAGCGATTGAGGTGATGATTCAAATATTGTTGTACTTGATTGCGGTTGAGATTCCGAAAATGTAGACATTTCCTCTGGAGTTGTTTCGTATTTTTCTGTACTCGATGTTGGAAAATAACTACTGGATATTGTACTCAATTGAGGAAAAGACTTTGAAACAGTTGTGCTTGATTGCGGTAGGGATTCCGAAAATGTAGATTTTTCTTCTGCAGTTCTCTCTTCCTTTTCGGTACTGGACATTTGAACTGAAGTACTGGATATTGTAGCCGATTGAGGTGATGATTCCAATAATGTTGTACTTGATGGCGGTTGAGATTTTGAAAATGTAGACATTTCCTCTGGAGTTGTTTCGTATTTTTCCGTACTCGATGTTGGAAAATAACTACTAGATATTGTACTCAATTGAGGAAAAGACTTTGAAACAGTTGTGCTTGATTGCGGTAGGGATTCCGAAAATGTAGATTTTTCCTCTGCAGTTCTCTCTTCCTTTTCGGTACTGGTCATTTGAACTGAAGTACTGGATATTGTAGGCGATTGAGGTGATGATTCAAATAATGTTGTACTTGATTGCGGTTGAGATTCCGAAAATGTAGATTTTTCCTCTGCAGTTCTCTCTTCCTTTTCGGTACTAGACATTTGAACTGATTTACTGGGTATTGTAGGCGATTGAGGTGATGATTTAAATACTGTTGTACTTGATTGCGGTTGAGATTCCGAAAATGTAGACATTTCCTCTGGAGTTGTTTCGTATTTTTCTGTACTCGATGTTGGAAAATAACTACTGGACATTGTACTCAATTGAGTAAAAGACTTTGAAACAGTTGCGCTTGATTGCAGTAGGGATTCCGAAAATGTAGATTTTTCCTCTGCAGTTCTCTCTTCCTTTTCGGTACTAGACATTTGATCTGATTTACTGGGTATTGTAGGCGATTGAGGTGATGATTCAAATAATGTTGTACTTGATTGCGGATGAGATTCCGAAAATGTAGATTTTTCCTCTGCAGTTCTTTCTTCCTTTGCGGTACTGGACATTTGAAGTGAAGTACTGGATAATGTAGGCGATTGAGGTGATGATTCCATTAATGTTGTACTTGATTGCGGTTGAGATTCCGAAAACGTAGACTTTTCCTCTGAAGCTGTTGCGTATTTTTCTGTACTCGATGATAGAAAATAACTACTGGATATTGTACTCAAATGAGGAAAAGACTTTGAAATAGTTGTGCTTGATTGCGGTAGAGATTCTGAAAATGTAGATTTTTCCTCTGAAGTTCTCTCTTTCTTTTCAGTACTGGACATTTGAACTGAAGTACTGGATATTGTAGGCGATTGAGGTGATGATTCCAATAATGTTGTACTTGATTGCGGTTGAAATTTTGAAAATGTAGACATTTCCTCTGGAGTTGTTTCGTATTTTTCCGTACTCGATGATAGAAAATAACTACTGGATATTGTACTCAAATGAGGAAAAGACTTTGAAACAGTTGTGCTTGATTGCGGTAGAGATTCTGAAAATGTAGATTTTTCCTCTGAAGTTCTCTCTTTCTTTTCGGTACTGGACATTTGAACTGAAGTACTGGATATTGTAGGCGATTGAGGTGATGATTCAAATAATGTTGTACTTGATTGCGGGTGAGATTCCGAAAATGTAGATTTTTCCTCTGCAGTTCTTTCTTCCCTTGTGGTACTGGACATTTGAAGTGATGTACTGGATATTGTAGGCGATTGAGGTGATGATTCCAATAATGTTGTACTTGATTGCGATTGAGATTCCGAAAACGTAGACTTTTCCTCTGGAGTTGTTTCGTATTTTTCTGTACTCGATGTTGGAAAATAACTACTGGATATTGTACTCAATTGAGGAAAAGACTTTGAAACAGTTGTGCTTGATTGTGGTAGGGATTCCGAAAATGTAGATTTTTCCTCTGCAGTTCTCTCTTCCTTTTCGGTACTGGACATTTGAACTGAAGTACTGGATATTGTAGGCGATTGAGGTGATGATTCAAATAATGTTGTACTTGATTGCGGTTGAGATTCCGAAAATGTAGATTTTTCCTCTGCAGTTCTCTCTTCCTTTTCGGTACTAGACATTTGAATTGATTTACTGGGTATTGTAGGCGATTGAGGTGATGATTCAAATAATGTTGTACTTGATTGCGGTTGAGATTCCGAAAATGTAGACATTTCCTCTGGAGTTGTTTCGTGTTTTTCTGTACTCGATGTTGGAAAATAACTACTAGATATTGTACTCAATTGAGGAAAAGACTTTGAAACAGTTGTGCTTGATTGCGGTAGGGATTCCGAAAATGTAGATTTTTCCTCTGCAGTTCTCTCTTCCTTTTCGGTACTGGACATTTGAACTGATGTACTGGATATTGTAGGCGATTGAGGTGATGATTCAAATAATGTTGTACTTGATTGCGGTTGAGATTCCGAAAATGTAGATCTTTCCTCTGCAGTTCTCTCTTCCTTTTCGGTACTGGACATTTGAACTGATGTACTGGATATTGTAGGCGATTGAGGTGATGATTCAAATAATGTTGTACTTGATTGCGGTTGAGATTTCGAAAATGTAGATTTTTCCTCTGCAGTTCTCTCTTCCTTTTCGGTACTAGACATTTGAACTGATTTACTGGGTATTGTAGGCGATTGAGGTGATGATTCAAATAATGTTGTACTTGATTGCGGATGAGATTCCGAAAATGTCGATTTTTCCTCTGCAGTTCTTTCTTCCTTTGCGGTACTGGACATTTGAAGTGAAGTACTGGATAATGTAGGCGATTGAGGTGATGATTCCATTAATGTTGTACTTGATTGCGGTTGAGATTCCGAAAACGTAGACTTTTCCTCTGGAGCTGTTGCGTATTTTTCTGTACTCGATGATAGAAAATAACTACTGGATATTGTACTCAAATGAGGAAAAGACTTTGAAACAGTTGTGCTTGATTGCGGTAGGGATTCTGAAAATGTAGATTTTTCCTCTGCAGTTCTCTCTTCCTTTTCGGTACTGGACATTTGAACTGATGTACTGGATATTGTAGGCGATTGAGGTGATGATTCAAATAATGTTGTACTTGATTGCGGTTGAGATTCCGAAAATGTAGATCTTTCCTCTGCAGTTCTCTCTTCCT